TCTCTGCTGAGCCCACAGGTCTATAGCAGCCCTGGCCTATTGCCCCAGCCTGACAGCCACTGAGTGAGAAAAGCACTGAGAATCACTGCTGGGACCACACTTCTCAAAGCATGGAAATGTCAAACTGACACAAATTTTGGAGAGTGGCAGACTGAACTTGAGGACCTCTCTGAAAGAAAGAAAACTTTTAGTACATATGCTGCAGGAGACAGACTGTCAGAAGGAATAATGCCTTCCTACTAGGGCAAGGAAAGAAACTCAGAAGCAGGTGAGTTGGACCAAATCACCTCCAGAGGTCCCTTCCAGCCTCTACCATTCTGTCATTCTGAGCACATTTTGTGAAGACTTTAGAAAGAAACTAAATGTCTCCTGTGACCTGGTTCTAAAGCAATCACCAAAAGAGGAGCCAACTAGGTTCATGCAAGAGGACCTGTCATGCTATACTCCATCTTGTCAGATATGTTTTGAGTAGTCCCAAAAAAAAAGGGTAGAGGACAGATCATCCAATATGTGTAATAAGTTTGGTCTGTAATTGTCAAACATTCACAACCCATGCACAAATCTGCAAATGCAGCAGTTTTAAAGGGTTTGAGAGCCTGTTTGTGTGCTTAAATATTATTGGCGTTTGGGGAAGGAATCATTGTTTGCTTTAAGGAAATAACAAATAGAAAAATAGAGCTTTTCTTTACATCTCAGTGTGCTAAGAACAGGAACATTCTGCATGTACTAGCTATAGAAAGGTTTTGATAAGAGCTTTAAGATAAGTTTGAAGAGTACATTTTAAGTTTGTAAAAAGTTACACGCTGCATGACTTACCTCCAGCAAGCTCTTCCAAACTTGGAACATGAAAAGCAAACCTTTCGACTTTGGCCATTTCCTAACTGGTGCCGATTTCTTCGGGTAAGAAGTTGCAGTATACCACACTTTAAGAGTGACCAATCTGTCAACAAGGATAATAGTTTAACAATTAAAACAGGCTGTTTTCAATATGTTACTTATTTTTTAATTTCACTCAAGAATACACAGATAACTATAGAATTGATGTTCTGCCATAAATGGAAGACTAACAGCTTCAATATTAGTGTTAGTTCTCTTACGTGCTTTGGAAGATGTGTCAGTGAGCTCTTTATCTGGCTCAGAGCATTATATATGCTAGCCCTCAAGCTTACAACTGGGTGTAGCTAAAACACATCCTACGCTGAATCCAGTTCAAGGGACAGGTCAGGAGATTTATCTGTCCTCTGTAAGCCTGGAGTCAATTTGATTTTGAAAAAAACCCTGGGCTTTCCTGAGTACATTAGCTGCTTCTTCAGATCTTCCCTACCTTAACGTTTACTTTTCTAGCATGGGCTATGGTGGACTTTCAACCTCAGCTGTGACATGGTCTCCAATTGACTCTGGGCATGTGTTTCTCCTTCCAGAGGGGAACAGGCTTCAGCAAAATAGAAAACAGCAGCAAGTTCTGCAGTATCAGAAAGTTTTGTTTCAACATAAGTTTAAGAACTCCTTTACAAATGAACTATATTTCAGTCAGTCTTGCAACAGTAAAGTCAGCTACTAGGGCAAACCACTAGCTCAGGGCAGAAACACATGATTATACACTACCTATAAATCAGCAACAGCAATCATTAAATCCTTAGGCACATGCTTGCTGCACACAGCAGAAAAAGAAAATGGGTCCCACTTATCCAGATCTCAGGCCTTGGAGGAAAAAGCCAAAAACATGATTACAATCCCTGACAGAGCTTTTGTTATGAAGGACTATGATGTGAGCTAGCTGTTTATGTATACTTTTAGCATCTATTTTTAGAAAAATCCTAGCTTTTATGATTGTCAAGAATCATAACTGTCCTTATACCAGCAGCCTCTTGAGCCATCATGAAGGAAAAAAACGCAGCAGAAAAAAGAAATAAAAAAAGTTGGGAGATCATAGCAGTCGCCTAACTGAAGTCTTTGAGCTCAAAGTTCAGCCACCCCAAATTACTGCTGTAGCAAACAGAAGAGAAAGGGAGAAAGCTACCTGTGTATAGTAATTCCCATATTAGTTGGTCTTATCCACCTTCACAGGTGACTCCCTCCCTCCTCTGGCTGTGGAAAAGAAAGTAACAGGCTGGATTTGGTGCCTCTGGTAGAAGCCTACTGTCAGATGGAGTGATTCATATCACAGGACTTTAAAGTGCGCACCAAACACAAGAAGGGGAGCAATTAGAGAAAGAAAGTGAGAAGATGGTTTTGGGAGCATTGATTTAGATGATCCTCATTCCCTCAAGAATCTTTTGCCATGTCCAAAAGGAGGCTGTGCCAGCACTCAAGACAGCAGTTGAAAAGGTCCTGAAACAGACTGAGAAGCCAGGCTAGAGCTGCTGTTGTGCAAAAGGCAGAGGCAAGACTTAGACACGGTTTAAGTAGGTAGTCTCAGGTAGAACACCTAGACCATCACCTGCTGTTTAAAGGACGGTAGTCAGCTCCCCACTACCAAGAAAAGAAGGAAAGACTATGGGAAAAGCTCAATGTACTATAATAATCTGATTGCCAGACAGTAGTCCTTACCCAAAAGGACACAAACGAGTAGATCCGTGAGTCACCACCTCAAGGAGAGCTTTCACAGGGGAGTTTGTGTGGTGTGGGAGAGGGAAAACCTGAAAGGAGACAACAGACAATTAAGATCCATCATGGAGGGGGTGGGGTGACACTGAATTACTACAGAAGACTTTCAAAGAAAGAAGACAAATACTAAAAGGACAATAAGATTATTAGATCTGATATAGCACCACAAAAATAGAGAGAACAAGCATCTATAAAGACTTTAAAAGTCTATCTTTTTGAAGCAGGAAGAAAACATCCGAGAGAGTAGTCAAGGGCCAGAGGAATGCAGATGAAATGGAGCCATTATATTAATGGGGTGGGGGGGTTGTCTCATATCAAAACCTGAATTAAAATTAGCTTGGAGGGTAGAAGCCAGAAAGGAGAGGTTATATGCAAGCTAGAGATGAGTCAAGATGTGGGGTGAAAGAAATATCAAGGAAAAACTGAAGGTGGCAATCAGTGAGAGAAGAGAAACGTAGTGGTGACAACAAGAAGAGCAAAACATTTACAGCTGCATCTGCAGCGGTTGTGTTCTTCAACTGGGGCGATCTAAGGAGATGCCGTAGGTGGCAGAGGAAGGCTGCAGGGCCTCAGGGGCATTGCTCAAGCGGCTGGGATTTGGGGAAGGGACGGGTCATGGCAGGGCAAGAACAGGCGGGCCAGGCGAGACGGGGGTGCCCAGGGGGCGCGGCCAGACAGGCAAAGGCAGCAGGAGCGCTGGGGCGAAGACACAGCGAAGCTGACGCTGCACTTGGCGTGGCTGCGAGAGGAACTGAAGAGTCGTTCAGGCTGGAGCCGCCGGTTCGGGGGAGCCCGGGCGGCAAAGGCAAGGAGAGGCAGGACAGCAGTAACGGGAGCAACGAGCAGCTCCTCGGAGCCTCACAGCGAGCGAGGAGCCCGGGCCCTTCAGACGGAGCGGGGAGCGGCTGAAGGGGGAGCCAGCCAGGAGCTGCCCCGCACTGCCCGAGCCTGCAAAGGCGCTGGCGGTCGATGCCCTGCCCCGCACCCGACCGCACGTACCTACCCCGCCGCTCCGGACTGCTCGCCCGTGCCGCGGGCCAGCCCCGGGGAACGCCCGCCCCGACACTCCCACCATGACGGCCGCGCCGGCCCACGGCCCCGCCCGTCCTCCCTCTCGGCGGGCCGCGCGCCTCTCGCGAGAGCCCCCGGCTCTATTTAAGCTCTCGGGCGGCCATTTTGAGCCTTTTACGGCGGCCGTGGCTGAGGTGGGGAGGGGTGGGGAGGGCGCGTTCAGTATCCGCCGGCATCCGCGGCGGTGGGAGCGGGGGGACCTGGGGGACCTGGGGGAGGGGAAATGAGTGACAATGAGTGGCGGCGGTATCGAGCCGTGCCCGCCTGGCCTGCCCCGGCGGAGGTTGTCCTTGGTGAGGGGGCCCGCTCGGCAGCGGTGCCGGTGGGGCGCCCCCGCTCTCTGGTAACGTGGTGGGTGCCCACGTACAAAATGTCCGCCGTGGCGCCGGTCCCAGCGCGTTGCTGGCAGCCGAGCTCGGCGAAGTGGGGGCGGGTGGGTGCGTCCATTCAACCTGAGGTAGATGTTAGCGAAATAATCGATGGCTCTTCTGGGAGGAAGGAAGCTTGCGTGAAATAATGAGCCAGTTACATGTTGGTTATTTCTTTCTAAAGGGATCTGTGTGGCGTTCTGGCTGTTAAGAACAGAGCTGCAATAGAGGCGGTGAATGATTTTTGAGCTACCAAGTACTAGCCTCAGCCTGTGTAGTTGGGGTGCTGTTACTGCATATGTTCCTGCTTTGATGTTGGACTGTTCTGTGGTGGGGTGTTGTGTGAGCTGATGGTAGCACTGCCCGCAGTTCGTCCAGGGCAACCCACATTTCCTCGCAGCGGAGGGCATTGGGCCGCTGGGCTGCTATTTCAAGTGCATTAGGGCGAGTTTAAGGTCTAGTGTACTTTTAAGTCTGCATTTAATGCTGCATTGGAAGGAAATGTTTTCATTCTGGAAGATGCAATGGGGTAGGTCCTGCCTGCAACAGTTAGATGATGCAAAAGTCATCTAAATGTAGACTATTCAAAAATCAATCATTGAGGTATGGCTGCAGCAGATTTCTGTTACTTTTATCCTCTTTGTCCTGAGAAAAACTTCGAGGTCACTGTATCTGTATGGATTAGAGAAGAAATAGGACTTAATATCATGAGCAGTCATAGCTGTTCATGTTCTATAGCCGTTTGTTCCGGCCTGCTAGTCTTATTCTTTACTGGTAATCTATATACATCTAGTGTATTTTCAGACTTCTCAGTTTGCTGTTGCATGCCTTTGTCTTTCCATGTGTTTGGGAAGCCTTCTTCCTGAACCTGCAGTAATCAGTACTCTGAAACATCAAACCATTATGCAGACAATAGCAGATTTTCTGAGAACATTAGGTGAGTTTTGCTATAATGTCTGCAAGTGCTAAATTGTGTGTAACTACATTTGAAATCATGGGTGTGATGATAGGTTCGTGAAACTGTAAAAAACAATAAAATTTAAAAGATACAGATCTATAGGGCTAGTAAATGATTTAACAAGCAGGTAAACCAACTCGAGGCTATTACATAGGAAGGACTGGTTCCTCTGCTGTGCTTCAGTCCCATTTGAGTAGACTTGAGCAGCTGAAGGGGTGGATTGGGTTGTCTTGCAAATTCAGCTGAAAATTAAGCTTTTGTTTGTGGGGCTATTCTACATGTCAATTGATAACCAGTGAACAAAGGGTCGATAGATATTTGGAGGAGTTGGCTTTAGGTATCATGTAGCTAGCAAAAGAACAGAGGGAAGATGACATTGCTTCTGATGGGGATGCTGTCTTAGATTAGTTTAAAAAGGTGAACCACAGTGAAGTGAGTATTTGCATATGATTTAAAACTGCAGTATCCTTATAAGAAGCAGTTGGCTACACATATGTGTTTATTTGAGGGAAAACTTATTCCTAGTAGGAATAGGATTAAAGCATTCAGAACTCTTCTACAGGTTTCTGAACACTGATGAAACTGAAGATAGCCTTGCTTTGAGTGGGAATTGGACCAAAAGAGCTGTAAAAATCCCTTCTGACCTAAATTATGGTATGAATATCTTGAGATAAGTGGCTTCAACATAACTTACTCTGAAGGTTAATACATTTGCTCGTGGTTCACAGGAAAATCTATGCTGAAGTTTGCTCAAGATTGTTCTTACAAGCTTATCCTAATAAGTGGAATGGTGGAAGGCTTGTTACCTGATGAATACAGAATTTTCTTGATTTTTTTTGAATTCTTACTGATTTTTAGGGCAAATTGAAACATGACTGATGCAGATGAATCCCAGGCTTCTGACTCCGATTATCCTGATGCTCAAGAGCTAATATGCAGTCAGCAGAAAGAACCAAATGAGGTACACGCATGTGAAACAAATAGACGAATGGAGCGTTCACGTTCAAGGCAAAAGAGTGCTGCTCGTGAGGAATCTTCAGATGAGCTTAACAGTATACATAAATCATCAGCTGCTTCAGCTGAGGTTTTACTGGACAGCAGTGATTCAGAAACGTGAGTTTTTTTTATCGCCAGTTTAGAATTTTTCATGTGAAGAACCTGTCACATACCATAAAACATACATTCTTTTAAAGTTGCATACCTTCTCTTTTTCTTCAGTGATATCTTTGCTGCTAGTAGCAGTGAATGCCATCCTCAGTGCTCCACTGCACGTTCAAAGCAAAAAAGGAGATCTTGGTCTTCAAGACAGCAAGCTGAATCTGTTGCAGGAATGTCTGACAATGAAAGTTCTTCAAATTCTTCTCTGTCCTCTCAAAGGCCAGGGAGATCATTGGAAACTTCCAAGAAGAAGTCAAAACTCAATTTGAAAGCCATTCTTGCCTATCACTTCAGGGGAAAGAAGTTTAAGGCTGCTGCACACCGAAAATTCCGGAGTGGCTCAGGGAAGAAGAAGAAGAAAAAGGAGAGAGAGGGTGAGAGCACACAGAAGCGTAAGGGGAGGCCACCATTGAGGATCTCCCCTCAAGAGCGAAAGAGAATACTTCAAGACAGAGGTCTTCAATTTCCTTTTGTAGAAAAATATTATGGGAGGAAACATCTTCCTTTAGCTATGGTTCTTGACTATGAGGTGAGTCCTCAGTTCTGTGGGGGATAATGTATTATTTTTTTACTTAGTGTAAAAATAGTTTAAATCGGCTATGTTGTGCTTCCATCTGATGTGCTACAACAAAACAATGAAACAGTTTTCCTGTTAAACAGACAACAGTGTCCTCTTTAATATCTTTAAGACAAGCACAGCTAAAATATGGGTGTCAATGTAATACTACGTAATACAGATGCTTTATAGTGGTGTTTTTTAAGATCTCACTTGATGTATTTTCTTCTTTAGAATGCAGCTATAAGGGGATTTTTCAAGTACATTAAAATGCTTAAATTTGAAGAACAGCTTAAACAATCTTTAACAGCCCTTCAGGCTAGTGAAGACTTAGAAAGAGAACCTCTGATGGCACGGAAACACAAGTACTTAGATGATGAAGGTCCCATTTCCCCTATTCAGGAGATGAAGTAAGTTAATCTTTTTTAGGTGGTATAAAACTTGCTTTTTTGTTATTAACTAAAATACAAGTTTGTATACAGGTAGATGCATCACACCCATTCCCCCCCGCCAGCTCTTGGTCACCCCCAGCCTGTTGGTGTGGGGAGAGCATCAGCACTGCTTTAGTTGCAAGTCCAAACCAGCACCATACAGGCTGCTATGAAGAAAGCTTAACTCCCTACCAGCCAGACCAGTACAATCTGCTGCTCTGCCAGTTGGAGCATTCAGGAGGTAGTATGGTTGGTTGTAGTAGCATGTGATTTTTGTGACAGAGTTGTACGTATATCTAGTTCAGTGCCTATCCTGTTCTTTTAACCTGTACCAACAGTTGTAATCTAAATGTGAATATCTGCTTATGGAAGCAGTTTATTTTGGGAACAAAATACTCAGCCACCTGGGATTCTGTGCTTGTAAATGTGACTTGGAAGTTCTTGTAGAATGAGATATTTTTAATCTTAATCTGAAGACTGTTCTTTCAATTGGTGATTTGTACTGTAAGTTTCTAAGCGGAGTGTTTCATGTCAAAGACTAAAGGACATTTTTTAATTTCCTTTTTACTTTATTAAGCTGAAGTATCATCTTGGGTCTTTCTGTTTATGGTCAAACAGTTAACTTAGGTGCCATAAAGGGATCAAATCATCAAGAACATGTAATGTAATATACTCAGCACCTTAAAACTATAAAGCCTAAAAGACAGTGTAAAGGTAGAAAGGTGTCTTTCAGCTACTGTTCACATTAGTAATCACTTAAACTGCTATTTTATGTAAGTTGAAGTATTGCGGTGAACCTGTGAAATGAGTAACAATAATTTGCTCTCTGACAAAAGAGCAGAAGAAAAGTTCTGTAGAATAAATGCAAGTCAGCTCACCCAGACACTCGGCTCTTCATACAAGAGGGGTACTAGAAGACTTTCTGGGTTTTTTAACCAGTCCTCTGTGCTGCTTGTCAAAACTATACTACTAAAATGGTCTCATCTTTTTCTAGGGAGTCCTTTAGCTTGAGAGAAATCTGTGGACATTAGTGGAATTGAATTTGATAAGTGTTTCATGTCAGTGTGGAGATAATACTTCTCTGTTACCGTATCAGGATAAAAGATGTGTACTCCTTAGCTGAGGCCTGTCCTCTTTCTTGATTGTATTTTTGTTTTCTAACTTGCTGACTTTCTAGCCTGTTTACTGGTGTAATCGAAAACATCAATACTGTTATTGATGTCTGCTACTGAATCTTTGTTCTGCAGTGAAGCACTGCTTCTGTCCTGCTGGTGTTGCTAGTTAGGATGTAATTCTGGTAGAAACTATCATTTGAGAACCTTATCTAGTAGTAGTATCTTACACCTACAAGCCACAGCACTTCCATATAAAGAGAAACCAGGGGTTGTGGTAGGAAAATAGTTTACATATTTTAGGTTACTATAAAAGTACAGAGGAATTTGAATTTTTATATTTCAGTGATGATGACAACTTGAATTCTGAAAATCAAGACGACTTTGATGCCAGAATAGTGGTAAGTAAATTCTCCTTAACTTCAGAAACTCTCTAACCTTCTTTCTCTTATGAGGTTAAAGAATTAGTAGATAATGTTTTCAGTACTTTATTTCTGAGTTTAGATCCAGAGTTAACAGTATGATACCTGAGTCCTGATCTGTAATGCAAAAAAAAGTTGTGTTGAGAGCATATACTTTCCTCTTCTAAATAACGCTGGAATGTATAAGAATTCTAGAGTTCTCTGAAGAGTTCATAAAGTTTCCAAAGTTACTACCAAAATCTTACCTTGGAAATATTTCAAAACTAGACTTGTGAATACTCTTGTCTTCCATTTTCTTAGGAGAACAGCTCTTTCATTCTAAGCAGCAAAATTCGCAGTAAGAAAAAAATCAAAGCCAAAAAAAACCGTACAAAATCAACTGAAGTGATGGAAATAGAGGGAGGGAATGTGCTGCTATGAACTCTGGGCTTCTGTAAGAATCACCTCGGTGAAAAGAAAACTAAGAAATGAGTTGGCAGTGATCACTCAGACACCTTCACTTGTTTTGAAGCATTGGTCTGAAGTCAGTGTTGAACTATCAACCAAGCAACCTCATCAGATTTGGTTTAAGGTGAGTGTATGGAGCTTGTGTCTGAGACTGTTACAGAACAAGTTTCATGTCTCTGCTAAGCTTTTAAGTGTCTTCTGTGCTGTTCTGTATCAAGTGTATAATGTCCTTGATTCAGTGGCTGGTAATCTTGCTGAAACACTAGCTTCTGCAACTTTTGTTAACCAATGGATCATAGAATTTGTGTGGTTAAAAATAGGAAAACAAATTCCAAATACTGCAACATAGCAGCTGCACAGTAAAGTCTGTGCATGTGCATCCATACATACATATGTTCAAGTTACAAAGGGCAATTTGGATGCCTGTCTTTCATAGCTGACTTCTGTGAGTGGTACTGGAGAGGTTATTTTTTCCGAGTCTTAAGGAAATGCAAGTTATGCTTTGAAATACTTTGAGAGCTAAGTAAGGGTTGAAGACAAAATTGATGCTTAATGTAAATCAAATGCCAACAGTAAAAATGCAAAAGTGGTTAGTCAAACAAAAGTCTTGCAAAATATGGTTAATGCATTTAAATGATGATAAAATCAATTTGTATGATTGAGGTTGTCTATTCCATGTGGAATAAGTTTTCAGAAAGCTATCTCTCTGCTCCTGAATCTAATTCAATAATCTGAAGTTACAAATTATCTTAAAAATAACTGTAGCAACATAGTGAATCTTGGATGAAAAGAATTTTTTTTTTTTTTTTCCCCTCTTGCCCTCCTGTCCAGAATGGGTTCTGATGTAAACATGACTAAGCAGAAGATGAAAGCTCTTTATAATGATAGTACTTAAGGAGCACTGCCCCAGTTGCAAATACCTTTCTCAAAGGTGTTTTGACATTTGGAAACATGACTAGTGAATGTTTAGAAATGGTCTGAATACTAATGCCTAGATGACAAGGCTGTCTTGGTAGCAGTAGAAATAAAAAATATTTTAAAAAGTCTACTTGTGAATTGATAAGATTTAGAAATCAAAGGGTGATATGCCTCATTTAAATAATAACCAAATTGCTGTCAGCAAGAAACTTAACCACCTGTTCAGCAAGTAAACATAGTCTGTGCCAACAGGAATGATGTCAGAAAAATTCTGTATGTATTGATTTAATTTCCTTCAAAATGTAGCTGACAGTCTTAATTTACAGTAGGTCCTCAGTATAATGAGGTCAAGTTTCATTCCTTGTATATTTGGATTAAGGACCCAGATCTTCGTAAAGGAAGTTTGGGGTTTCCCAATTGCAGCTTGGTAGCTCTAGGTGCTAAGACTGCAAAAATTAGTCTTCAGTAGTTGAAGATTATATTTAATACTGGTCCAAAATTGATGGCTAAATGTAACTCGGATCTACCTGAGAAATACTCTGTCTTTGTCCTGGTTTTGGCTGGGATAGAGTTAATTTTCCTTCTTAGTAGCTAGAATAGTGCTGTGTTTTGGATTCAGCATGGGGTTTGGTATGAGAAGAATGGTGATACCACACTGATGTTTTCGGCTGCTGCTGAAATTTCAAGGACTCTCGCAACTCCCCATGTCTTGCCCGTGTGCAGGTGCACAAGAAGCAGGGAGGGATGCACGGCCAGAGCACCAGACCCAAATTGGCCAGTGAAATATTCCATATCATGCAATGTCATGCTCTGTATATAAGGGAGGGGGGATTCTGCCTTGCTTCTGGGATTGCAATTGCAGGATCTTGGTATTTTGGGATTGTTAGCTGGGAATGGGCTTGGATATCAGTTGGAGGGTGGTGAACAATTGCATTGTACTTTCTATTGTTACTGGCTTATTTTATTACAATTATTAAATTGTTTTTATGTTGACCTATGAGTCTCTGTGCTTTTACCCCTCCACTTCCCTCCCCCATCCCCTGGGTGGGGGGAGCGTGAGCGAGCGGCTGTGTGGTGTTGGGCTGCTGGCCGGGTTTAAACCACTCCAGGTTTCAATTACTCTTCCTGGATCTAGGAGTGGGCTTCTTGCTTGGTAAGGCAGAGCAAGGTGGTATCTGGAGTCCTGCTCATTCTGCAGTTCACATGATGAATTTTTCTGTTCAACTGCTGAGTGACTCAGAAATGAACTAAATTTCAATTCTGATTAGAACTGGAAAAACACAGATGAAAATAAAGATTAGAACTGCTAAATTGATTGCTGAAACCTAGCTTTTGGCTTTAGGAATCTTCAGTTATTTGACCATATCTGAAAGTTCTTAGCACTTTGCGTGCTTTTTTTCTTCTAGTTTATGTTGTTTTTGGAAGTTGAATACTGCTCAGTTTTCTTGACGTGCAAGGTAAGCTGTTACTTGGTTTGCAATTCCTGTTTTCTTCAGGTAGCTTTTTTGCTTTACTTCACAAAACATCTTTGAAAAACAGTATTCCATAGTTCAAGTGTGAATATATTAGTGTTTCATAGCTGTGCAACTTCTCTGTGAAGCTTCCAGAGTATTGAGTTCACTGCAACATCTTTTATCAGTCTGACCAAACTTCGAGCCTGTAGTCTCTGCTGGAATGAAAACTAAAAGTTCCAAGTTCTTGAATACTTGTGTATTAAATGCAGTTTTTGTTAGAAGTTATATATAGAAATACTTTGTTTTTACCTGGCTTTGAATGCTGCAGGGAAACCTAATCTTGTCTGGTTGGTTTGGACACTATCTGGGACCTTCTCACCTCAAGATGTTGAACTACTGTACACTTAATCTCCTGGTGGTGCCCCACCCATACTGTCTGTACCTGGGTGTATTGTACAGCTGCAGTTTCTGATCACTTCCCTGTGGTAAAATTTCATCTTGATGCATGTCCCATGCAAGAACAGGGGCCACAGCAGAAAGAAGCTGGTAGTCTTGCACATATATATTGCTAAAGCTGGTAACCGTACCACAGGGTGTAACTGTATTGGATGGTTTAACCTTGCAAGTTCATGTGGCTTCAAGAGAGTCTAGGAAATAGCATGGAAGAAAATGCCATATAAGATTACTGAATAGAGAAACGTCTTTAATGTGGAAAGCCCTGAGCTAAAGCTGAGCAAGTAATGAAACTTCACAGGGACATACTTAAGGGTGATAGGATGCAGGCATCTGCTTTGGCCACTGCTGCAGTAAGGGTACTGGACTAGAAAACATTCGTTTGATACATCATAACTTGTTCTTATGTCAGCATATCTGATACTGAACCTCCGTTGCCGCAGTTACCTTAGTCCAAACTACACCTGTCTCTAAAAATAGCAGTAGTGGAAGGAGACAGATATTAATGTTTAGTAGACTGAGCAATAACTTGAATTTTGTGTATTGTTAAATGCTGCTTCAAAACCAGTGAAAAATAAGACTAAAGTTGATGCAGTCAGTCTGTTCCAGCACGTGTTCAGTTTTTGTCTGTTGCTGTAGACAAAAACCTGGAACCTAGTGCTTAGAAAAAACCCTTCTTTTGCAACCCACAGCTGATGAACATATTAGTTGTGTTACTTATATGAAGGGACAATATTTGCATGTATTCAAACAGCAGTTTGTTCAGATGGTTAATCCAGGGCATGAGTTTCACGTTTCCAACTTGCAGAAGTGTAGTTCAGTTGTTACTGGTTTCTTTGCAGAGTCTGCAAATGAACACAGCAGCTCTGCAGTGGTGAGCACTTGTAACTTCTTTGGCGTGCTTGAATTCTTGCAGCTGTTTGCCCTTCTGATGTACAGATCTATTACTTCGGTGGATTTCTGTGAAATGCGTTAGTGAAAGAGGTGAGCTTTGTGTTTCTTTTGAGCTTCAGCATAAGAGCATTAGACTTCTTCAGACAGATACTATTTTCACAGCAAGTAATCAGACTTAACTAGTGCACTGTATGGTATCTGCACCCAGCAGTGTCTTCCTGATGGGGTGTTCAAAAAGCAGTGCTACAGTATTTCAACAGCTGGCATCGTTGGTTTTCATGCAGATGTGCTGGTTAAACTTGGTTTTTCTGTTGAAACAAGTAGTTCGAAAGTTTCTTATTGGGAAGCTTGTCAACACAACGTTTAAGAACTGTGGAACTGTTGTGGGATAAAAGTATAGTCAAATCAGTGACCTTGTTCCGAAATATTTCTTCTTAAAAGGGCATTCCTGTGATGTCTGGAACACACTGGAAAGCTTCTACTTAAGAGTAAGTATTGAGGAAATAGTTGTTTTTCCCTGGGTGAAGGTTGTTGGATGGGGATATAAAAGCTCACGCCTTCAGCTTTTTGCCTGCCTTTCTCCAAAGAAGCAATACTTTATTTTGAAACAGAGCCAAGTACCACATGGCAGCTAGTGACATGTTTCTTTAAAAGTTAACTGGCTAGGCTTCAAGAGGGAAAGCTATTCTGCAGACGTTGTGAAGAGTTGTTATGCCTCGTTGTTCAGCAAATAGACACAACTTGCTGTGTGTCTGAATTGAAAAACGTGGCTAGAAGAGCAACAGGTTGTGCTTTCCTCACTGTAAAGTTAATTGCAGTGGTGACAATGAGACCTGTAACAGATTTACTTAGTGGGACAATTATGCAAACAGGTCAAAATGCAGCTACTGTAAAATCCCCAGATGGGCTTGTTTTGATGTTTTTGTGTTCTGCATCGTGCCTACTAAAGGAAGTAGAATTAGCAGGTAGAAGTTACATGTAGTGCAGCATTCTTGTAGATGGTTTATTAGAGCATATTTGTAAGCTGTCTTCAAATGGTGTTCTGTACGTGCTTTCTTTACATCACAGTACTGGCTGACTGTTGGGTAGCTCCCTTAATTGTACCCTCTGTGCCATAAGCTTCCAGTTCCTTAAAATGTAGATAGATGTTGTTGATCATTGTGTGATAGACTGGGCCATGGCTCTGATTTTTTTAAAAGAAATGCTTTGTTTTGGCATTAGCATTCAGACAGGATAACAGTATTACAGTCTGCCTGCTTCATATTGAGTATGAAAGTACTGAAGTCTTAATAAATTACTAAAATACTAAAGAAACTTGGAACTATTACTCAGATGCAACAATTTACTACTTTTTAGGAAGTCCACATGACAGTCAACTCTGAATTAGCATCTTGGTAAGTTGGTGTGATTGTTTTAACTCTTGCCTGTTGCAAGTTAGCTGTCTAACTTGGTGAAGCTGGTTATATTGCTGTGTTTTTTTTTTTTTTTTACTGAGAAGATGCAGTGTTGCTTTAGAAAACATAAGAGCTTATCTCCCCCACAAACTTGAGAATGCTCTGAGAAAACTGTTGTGATGATTGGCAAAATGTTCAACTGCTCTGAAGAGAGTGAGTGAGAATAGCCTTTCTGAACAAATCGCCTAAGTGTCCTTTTCATGTCACTTGATTCTGGGCATCTGAGTGTTTAACATGCAGTGTTTTGTGTCAGTGAGCAAAGATCATGGCTCTGACTTTCTTATAAAAATAAACAGGAAGTTGTTAAGAGCTGTCCAATTAAATAGGATAACATTCAGATATTATAGTAGCTTTAAATATGATTCCAAATAGAGGCTATCAGAAATGCCCGTGGGGTTAGAACTCCTTAAGTACTAAATACTGCTCTAGGTTCTGCTGGTTTGTATGCACATCCATACAGTTTGTAACCTTACCTTGCTTTTTCAGGGGGTAATTAAGAGAAAATCGTAGAAGAAATGCAGGATGCCATTCCACAGAAATCTGAAGCCCCTTTTATGGTTAGTATGACATCTAAGGTTCTGCATATTAATGACTGAAGGGTTCTGGTTTTCAGTGGCTGGAAGTCTGTATCAAATCAAGCTTACTGACTTGTGGAGGGTTTCAGAGACTTGTTTCAGCACCGTGTTGCTATATTTTAGCATTTACTCTGTTAAGAATTTGACTTTTTGTCCAAAGAACACTCGTACAAATTCCTCAGTCAAACAGGAGGTGATTAGCTTAACTGCTTAAACTGATAGTTTTGCTTCTACAAATAAGTTAACACTTTGCAGGAAAGTTACAGGGAGGATTTGGAGTACAATTTTGTAGTTAATACCCTTTGTTTGCCTTTCAGGTAACATTAAATTTTAGCATTAGAACTGTTGCTAATACGGAGTTACTTCAGCTTCCTCAAATGTTGGTGTATCATTTACCTTCCTCCTTCTCCCAAATGTCTTGAAACAAGTAAAAAGACACTTAGTAGGATCTGTACGAGATACCTTTCCAGTTGTCTTAATTTTTATCTAGTGTTAATTTATAGTACCAGAAATGTTGAGGTCTATCCCGATAGGATCTCTTCTGTAGGTTCGTGTCGTTGGAAACGCCTCACAGAATAAACTTGTGGTTTTGCTTTACCCATTGAACTACTTGTTAGCTCTGTGGGATAAAACTGCAAGACAAATCTCTGTAGACGTAGCGTCCTAGGAACTGTAATAATGCGTTCTGTTCTCCTTTAGGCACTGATTTATGTTTTTGGTAAAAACGAAAAAATCAATTCAAGTGGAAAAGCTTGGGAAGAATCAAAAGATAGTGCATTTGGGACTTCAAGCATTAACTACTGTGTTGAATTACACGGGCTGAGCTTACTGTTCAGCCAGGTTTTTGTATGGGTACCTGATTTGTAACATCTTCTTGTGGTTTGAGTTTTCTGGATGAGTTGAAGCAGTCTATTCCCCCTCTGATCAGGAGTGATTATTATTTCTTGTTTTGGTAGCTGTAGGTAAGAAGAGACAGCACTATGGTGTCTAAACTTTGGAGTAACTTGATAAACAATGCTGCATTTCTGTTCTGATCAAGAGATGCTTGATACTTTCATACTGAGCAGCAATACTTGGGTTATATTTAAGACCCAAACTTAAAGAGTTAATTACTGAGCAGCTCAGCCAGTTTACTACTATACAGTTAAAATTCCTGGCTTCTCTACAGAATGTAGGGTTTAAAGTAAAACAAGCAAAATATTCTGGAAGTGTAAATCCTTCATGGTAGGAATATATAAAAACTTAGAAGAATTCTGAAGCTGCTGTTCCTATTAGGTGAAATTCATGGAGTCTTTTCCTTCCTAGTTGCACAGCAGCTTTTGTGAACTGAAGAATAGATCAGTGTAGCTTATGACTAGACACCAGCTGGTGCATGTAAAAACCCTGAATGTTAAAATGAGCTGTTGCAGCTGAAGAATGACGGCAGCTCTTTGCACTGTATGGTATCTGCACCCAGCAGCATTTTGCTGATGGGATGTTCAAAGAACAGTGCTACAGGACTTCAGCATTAGGCATCGTTGGTTTTCATTCTGTTGTGTCTGTTAAACCTGGTATTTTTGCTGATACAGTCTTTGTCCTCTGAGGATTTGAGTGCACTTGCTTTCTATTTTCATGTTCCAGTGTGAGAACTAGTTACTGGCTTCTGGAACTCAGCAAGTCCATTCAAGTTTATTTTTCTTTCTTTTTTTAAACAGGTGCTTTAGCATACAGACCAATGTGGATTTTGCTAGGATCAACTGTGGAAGATAAGAGCCTGTTTGACAGGTAAGTGCTGAGTTACTTGTCAGCTCAGTTTTCATGCAGCTGTTCAGAAGCTTGTGTGCTAACCTGGTGTGGGAATATAACAGAAGAGTAGTGAGGATTAAACACGTTCAGTTGTCTCAGTTGCAATTCCAGTTGCAGCTGCAGTGTCAAAAAACATGTGTATCATCCTAATTGTTTTAGTTCTATGTGCTTGACAGTAGAACATCTGTGTTTAGATAACACAGGCCTGTGATAGAGACCTTATTGAACACACTTGATAGTCTTGCCCTGCTGTGGGGAAAGATCAGAGCACAGCAGAAAATTACACCTGCAAAAATCCCTGATGCAGGTGAAAGCAGCAGGTTTGACATACTTGTCTTCTCTTTCCAGCTACCAAGGACCAAGCTTCGCTGTGCCTCTGCCTGGGTGCTGCTGCAGAGATCCCCCAGGTCACAAGGTAATGAGAATAAATTTACTCCTTGCGTTTTGTGGTGGTTCCTGCTTCAGCTCACACACTTGGCATGACTAGAACCATAACAGTGACACTTGAGTGAACTGTTCAGGCAATCTGCTCGCTCCAAATGTGAGCAGGTTGCTTCTCTGTGAGTCAGCCGTGTGTGTGTGTGTGTGTGTACTTTAAGTGGATGTCACAGTTGTGCAGTAATCTGTAGTACTAGTGTCTGAATTAAACTGCTCTTGCTTGTGAGGAATTGCTCCATACTTGTTCAGGCTTATTGGCACACAACTTGGCTTACATATTGGCAGGATTGATGGGCCTCTTACGGGAAAGGATAGGAAACCTGAATATTTATTCAAGCTGGTGGTAACAGCAGTGAAAGAAGAGTACCTGGTCATTACCAAGGCTGCTAGGATGTTGCTGTTTCTAGCGAGTTGTGGACATGACCGTAAAGCAAGTCCATCAGACTCTTGCATTGCCACGTGATGTGGCACCAAGTCTGCTGGGAATAAAGTTTTAATGTAGGTCAGGGACACAGCGCTGCCTTCTGCTGCTAGGATGGGAGCAGGGTCCTGCCGAGCTGTAGGTCTGGGGCTGTGCTTGGGCAGTTCCAGCACTTCAGCTGCAGAGGAACAAAAGTGCCAGTTGGAACCTTTGTAACTTGGACTCCAGAAGCCACCGTTGATGGTGGTGGTTGTGCACACACAATCAAAAAGGAGACACAAAACTGCTCCATGCAACTTACATCTAACTTTGATATTAACTGTTCACTTGCACTAACCAAATGTGACTCTAGCCCCTAGTGTCTGCCACCCTGCCACCCGGTCACTGCATGTCAGAGGGCTGAGAAACCACCTGCGTGCCACCAAAGTGAGTCTGAAGGTAAGGGCACTCAGCAACATTGCTGGTACTAAAAAGTATTTCAAGGTCACTTCAAAGAGGGTTTGCGTGGCTGAAAAACCAGCAGCTCTTAACGCGGTGACCACATACTGAAATCCTCTGCAGGATGCCGTGGACACTTGGTGTGTGCTATGGTCTATTTATGAGGAGATAAACCTTACGGAGTGAGGTCTCTTGGAGTGAAAAAGGATGTTTATCTGATCTACTGCCCGTGGGTTTTCTGAGATGCTGATGTAGGGGAGAGGCTGCTTAGTTTCATTCTAAAATCAGTTGATTTCTGCAGGCTGTGAAGGTGCAGAACAGGTTGATACAGTTGTGACAGGAGCAGTCCTGTATCTTACCTGCTGCTTGTGTGCTTGAAAAGGGCAAGGGAGCTGGTGAACAGGCTGCCCAGGGAAGTGGCTGAGTCACCCGCCCTGGAGGCGTTTTACAGTTCAGTGGTGAACTGGGCAGTGCCAGGTTAACAGTTGAACTCCATGATCTTTTCCAACTTAAATGATACATGATTCCCTTTCCCTCAGCAGTGATACGTTCCTATAGCTGCAGGGAAGTCTTAGAGTAGGTAACCGTGGAATAGGGAGGTGAGGGAGAAGTCCAGGGTGGGAATGGTGTGGGCACTCTGAGTAGTTCCAGGAGAGGGATGATGATGACCCTGGGGGAGCTGGCACTGGAAAAGTGTGCTTTTGCTCCTTAACATTTGAGTGAGGGGGGGACTGTGTGCATGCTCCTTGTGTTACTGCTTTTATATACTTGAAATTAAATTGCTTCAGAGGCAGCCATGTTATGCTAAGTGTGAGGAAGACAACAGTGTTCAAATGACCTGTGAGTACAAGTGCTAATAGATGCTTTTCCTCTCTCAGGTTGTGGTGATGTTCCTGCAAGTCTGCTGTGAAGAACAGTGCAGAACTCCTCCAGATAGAAAAAGAACCTTCTCTAGAGTGTTTAGTGCAGTAATTTAGAATTGAACATTAATTATAATTTTCCTTACTGCTTTGTAAATTGAAATAGTGCATGGTATTTAGAAACTAATTCAGAAACCCAGGGCCCCTTTGCCCTTACCCTTTCAGGTAGGACTTGCCTGTTTTGCCCTTCTGGGAGATGGAACAAAGCTGCCTGCTTGGTGTTGCAGAAGAGTGAACTAGGCTGAACATAGCAAGTTGTAATTTGACTAGGAAAGGCTCCATCGGCTCTTTTCCCTCACTCCCCTGTCATTCAGCTCAACTGTACTAAAGCTCTGGAGAGGTATTTATTCTGTACAGCATGTCACAGCATTTAAATAAAACTGATGCCTGAAAGCTGCAGCTGAGGTTATTTCCTGGTGCTATACTGTAAGCAAACAAGGAGGGGGTGAGCAGCTCTGGGCGGGTGCCCCCCTAAGCATCCAAATACGTGTGGGGAGCAGCCCTCGCAGAACCAGGAAGGTGAAGAGAGGAGAGACTACACCTAGGGCCTGTTGCACCAAGCTTCTACCTCCTTTAACTCCATCAACTGACATGCTTGTTTTGCCTTACACTCTTTACTTGGGGGTGATGGGGATGTGTATGTAACAGTGCTTTAGCTACTCTGGCCTGAAAAAAATTTAGTGAAAACAAGCCTAAAGTATAAACTGCTCATTAGAAGTAGGTTTTCTGGGACTGTTCTCTGCTGCATTTTAAACAGGACCTGGTTTAATGAAATGGTCCTGCTGTTCCAGGTGCTAATAACCAAATTCAACATTGTAGTAAAAGTTGAGCTTTAACTTTGTCCTGATGATGTAATTACTTAACTGCACTGGAGCTTGGAAAACTTGCACTGAAAAACTACCTTTGGAAGTAGTAACAGTCTAAGGCTTTCATTCTCTTCCTGCCTTGAGGTGCTTTAAGATGTACAGCTTGACTGCAGGAACTCACATTTCCTAATCTTAAATCAGATAAAAATTTCAGCTTTACAGAAGGAAGTAACATCTTGCATTCTCAGGGTGCAAGTCTTAAAAAATTTATTTGAAAATACTTTATACATGTATATTACAGAAGTTAGTGTGATCTCCCCTGAACACCCTAATGCACACTATAAAATATTAGTGTCCATCTACTCAGAGTCAAACCATGTTTAAAGCTGTAGTCAATCTGTTGCTGTAATGATCTCAGTACAACAGGAGGGAACTGCACTAATTTTGTTCAATTAGTTTTCCTACAGCTTTAAGCTGAGGATGCCTAATGGCTCCACAATTAACTTGGAAGTTTCAGGGGTGCCTTGGATTGTACCAATACCATAGTACTAAAGTCTTGTGCCAGTCAGTGTGCTTCCCAAGTCTTCTTGCCCCGTAGTTTCTCCAGCATTTTCTGCAAATAAAACCACAAGAGTACAGCAAGTATAGCTTAAGTGACTGCACTAAAACCCAGCACAGATAGGTGGGCACAACTGGGGTACTATTTGTGTAGAACCTGAGCATCACTAACAGCCAGTGCAAGTGTGCTTACCTCTTTTCTGTTAATTATGGAATCTCTGAAACAATATAAAAAGAGCAACACTTTACCCCAAGAGCTGAGGCAGGCAGTGCTGAAGGCAGGATTTGCGCCTGGAGCCCCCAGGAACAGTCCCAGCCAGTTGGGAATCCCTGAGTATTTCCTTCCTTCAGGTGCCTGGGGACAGGCACAGGGACCATGCACATGTCCTCTTGTTCCAGAGCAATGGGAGGCAAACCCAGGCAGGATTCTTGCAACCTGAGGTTAGGTGTGCTCAACCAGGCAGAATCTTCAGCTACCTGGAGTAGCCAAAAAAACTCTCTAAAAACTGCCTTATACAGGAGATTTAGTCAAGTTGGGACTAATAAAAAACTTCTGCCTCTCTTTTGCCAAGTAGACTTTCTAGCAGCTGGAGTCCCTAACAGCCTTTTTGCTCATCTTCAAGTCACCAGAAAATTTCAGCCTTAGGTAGACACACATTTTAGAGAAAATTTCAGCTCAGTCACAATGTTAACAAGGAAATTCTTAAGTGGGGTATACCAAGAGCAGCACTGAAAATCCAGACTGGTTTGATGGTCTGTTTCAGTTGCACTCACCACAGAACTACGTCTCAATTAGCCTGAGTAGAAGCTCAGTGAAATCATGAGAACTAAGCAGGTAGGACAACATTGTAGCAGACTATTACCTTCTGAAACTCTTTAGCCTTCTCTCTGTTTTTAGCGTAAGTTTCTTGCCTTGTTTTTTCTTCCTTTCCGATTTTTACTTCTGCAAGTTGATTATAAAGTCTGTCAAAACAGCAGGAGAAAAATTGTGTGGTGTTGAAAGTGGCCAAGCTGGAATAAGTTAACAAGCTTAAGGGTTTACACTGTCTCCATTGCTAGAATTTCAGAAAGGAAATTTTGACTCGGCTCTCCAGTAACCTAGAATCACTTCACATGCCTCTTCAGCTGCATCTAACAAACACCCCATTCAGGAGTTGTACTTGCTGCGTGTTACTGTCAGTAAGTGCCCAAATGCAACTGTGAACTTGGCTTTAAATTTAATCTGGTTTCACACATTAGCTGACACAGCTGCTGCCTTAGCACGAGGAAATGAGCAGGCTGCCAGCCCCGTTTCTCACTGCCCGCTGTGCAAGGGAACTTCCCAACAGGTACCTGGATCAAACACGCTTGGCCTCTCCCAGCTGTTTCGTGTGGGCAGTACTGGGTCCCACTGGAAGATCACAAACTGCCCCAACTGTCCAGCAGCTTTGACAAGACACATGAACTACTACTGGTTTTCAAATTCAAACTTCTCCCACTTGTGTTCATGCAATACCTTAAAGTACGCTGCTGCATTTCAGTTTCTCCAGACTTCCTGTTCTCTGGAGAAGACACTTTCACTTCTCCTGCTTTCTTCAACTGATTGACAACTGCATCTTTTTCTCCTTAAAAAAAAAGCCAAACATATCTTACACTTCAATCTCTAATCCAGCTAACTCAAAAGCATGAGAGGTTTTCATAGATTTTTTTTAAATGACATTACAAAAAAAAGAAATAAGCTAGCAGAATGGAGATGATGTGTTAAAAGTAAAACTTCACAGTCTCACTTATGAGGCTGTTGCCTGTACTTTAAGCCAGCCACGCTTCTCAACAGCCAACTTACATCTCTAATGTCTGTTAATGGGGAGTTCTATCAGTTTGCTTAATATGGTTGTTCTTTGATAAACAACTATTCTTTGCAGGGACAATTTAGGATTAGAAAAGTGTGGGCAGGTTGTAAAAATATGAAGAGGACCTGTAAGGGCATTTACAACACTGAAGAGGGAGCCAGACAGCAGAAAGCTCCCTGCATCCCTGAGAAAACAAACAAAAGAGTACTGTAGTCTGCAGTAGCAAAGATGGAACAAATGTGACATCTATTCTTAGATACTAAACAGCAACTGAAAGAATACCTAGTGCTAAGTCTTGTCCCCAGATAAACCTACCAGAGGTAAGAGACGCCTTTTGCCTGCTTAACTTCTCAGGCTTTCCTCTCTGGAACTGTCTGGCTTCTGGCTTTTCATTTTTTCTGTCTCTATTTTTAATTTCTTCTACCCTCTTCTGAGATTTCTGGATGAAGTTGTTCTTTCTTTTTAAAAAAGATTCTTGCAAACTTCCAGGTGCAGCCGCAAACTCCAGCAGCATCACTGTGACAGAAAATGAAGAGCCTGAACATTTCTCACTTTTAGCAATGAGCAGTATCACCCCTAGGAAGTCATGCATTTCAATGTATTTCTCCTGAAATGCTGGGCTTGACTACTTCTGCAAATCACACTAGGAGAGTGACACTGTGAATGAGGAGTAATTTTGCAAAATAAGCAGGAATTCAGACCAATGGAATCTAATAACTAAGCAGGTCTGCCAAGACAAACACTGTGATAAATACTGCATCGAAAGCATCTTGATGCCTCAAAACGTATCAAAGACCTGAGAAGTCCATAGCAATGGTTAACTTCTGTCAATTCCTGTCTTTCATGTTACTGCTGTTAATCTTGGACAAAAAATATTTCAATATTTTACTGGTGTTCCACACTATCATCAGAATAGGAAAAAAAAAAAAATTTTTTTTGGCTACCAAGCCCAAGTTTGGAGACTAACAGGAAATAAAAATTGTATGACAAACCAGCCACAAAACACCAGAAAATTTTTCAAAATTAAGTAGTTACAGAAAACCCCACCCAGTGTATTGTAGGTATTATAAACTTCAATTAAAAATAGCCTGGCATAGGAAGAGACAAGTCAATACTTCCTTGTCAATAAGACACAACTTAAGCCTGGGTCAAATGTACTACAAACCAAGCCTGAACAGCAAGGTGCATTTGCCTAAGTAAAAGAAATTTTGCTTTCCAAAGGAGAGATGTACTTTATTAATGATTTTAATACTATAAATAAAGACTTCATGTATCTCAACTTCAGTGTATTGAAGTTACACCCAATTACCTGCAGTCTGATGTGATGGAAAGTGACTGTCTTTGGGACTCTGGGCTGTGGAAGAACTGTCAGGCCTTACGAACACTGAATAATCTGCATCTGGAACTAGTGGTAAAAATTCTCTCTCCTGTTTCAAAAGGAATCAGTGATTGGAAATGCTTAAAATATACCAGAAATTTGAGTGAAGTGGTAGTGCTGTACGACTAGCATGGACCCGATGCAAATAAGACACACTCTTTTGCCTTCATAGCAGATGAAAGAAAAACATCAGAAATGGATCTTGGTAGTAAGTATTAAAAGCCTACTTTTTAAAAACATATTAAAAGTTTTTAAAAAGCCATTAAATGTCCTTTGCCCACCAGATTTCTGTTGCATCTTAATATGGGGCTGCATAATTTCAACTCAGCAGATGTGTTTTTCTTTCCCCCTGATCTCTCTAGTTCTCCCTATCATTCTCTTACTCCCGTGTCTCCTTCCCCCATTCTCAGCAGGAAGGTAACACCCACTGCAGACGTACAGCCTCCAGCTGCCAACTTCCACCTTACTCACATTACAATTACTTTAGAAAAAGACATCCTTAAGCCATTTTTAGGATCTTCTCTAGGTGCCCTCTGCAATCAAAACAGTATCTAATCTATTCACTAACAGACATACATTACTTGGTTCTGCACTACTGATTCAGCACCCAAACTACTCCATTATTACAAACGAGCTCCTCTACAGTTTATGGCTTTTGCTTTGTACAAGCAAATAGCAAAATGCATATCACAGGCAAATTAAGCATCCCAGTATGATGAGCTGATCATATTTTCCCCATAAACCTCAAACTGCCATGTGGGCCTGGTATAGCTCCATCCACTATGTGAGGAATTTTCCTTTTTTCCTGTTCAGTTTGTTGCTTTTGTTTTGTCCTGTCCCACCCACTCCTCTCATTCAAGACTTTCACTAATGGGATACAATTCAGTCTCGCAAACACCAACAAGACAGTTCTGTTTCTCAGCAAGTCTTCCCAACCTCTATCTACACTGATAAGACAAGATCATAGTGATTTTAAGGAATAGTCCAAATCTAAGATCCATTAGGTCTGTTTGGAAAGCATAGCATCAAACCAACATGGTCGAAGGAATTACTGAACTCGGCTAACCCTAACATTCTCTCATTTTGCAACAGTGGATTAACTGCTACAGTGGGGCCTCTCATTATGATTAAGACAAAGTTAAAATCAGAACTACATTCAGTAATACTCACCTCAGAAAATACATTAAATTTGGACTGATCCACACATGCTGCATTATTGATTTTACCCTCCTTACTTTTCTCTTGGTTAGTATGTTCAATATCTGATTCTGCAACACTGATGTCATTTGAGCTTATCAGAGTGAGTTCAGGCTCTTCCATAATACCACACCCAGACTCTGTCTCCTAGAAAATAAATGATACAAGACATCAGTGTAAAAAAAATATTTAACACCCCCCCCCCCAACTATTTCCATCAATAGCAACAGCTGTTATCTTGTTGAAGAGCCTCATTCAACATGTAGAAGAAAGAAAATCTGACCCCAAGCAATAAATGAGATACAGAAAGAGCATTTTGCCTGAAGTTGTGATGTATGCACACCCTGGAACCTAAGTTCAATGCAAAGTATTTTATATACCAGTGTTAAGAAAGCCCAAACAAATAATGCAAAGCAACCAAACACCACCACCACCTCTCCTCCACTCACCTCAAGTTTAAATTACTTAGTTCTAGGGCAAACTTTTTTTTTGAAGCTACATCAAAGTAATTTCCTTAAATTTGCTTATGCTTTGGTTAAATTATTTAACTCCATGCTTCTAAATGGGATTAGGGGCTGTTCAGTTAAGTAACCATGCCACACAGTACAGATGCATATGCTAAACAAACTGATGCTAAAAGGAGGAGATGCAATAGACACACTATAGCTCCTCCAACAGTCATGGGAACTCCAGCTTATTTTAGCTACTGCTAATTATTTCAGTGCTATAATATGAAAAAAGTAGTAAGGCAGAAGTCTAGGAAGCACACAAGTCAAACTAGAATTGTAAAAACCAACATTTGCCAAGCTTTCAGATATTAATGATCTAAAATAACTTGGTGCAACAACAACAACAAAAAAAAACAAACTAACAAAATAAGTCTGAACAAATTATTGCTTTTGGAAATCTGTTTTACTCACCCAGACTGGAATACGACAGGAGCTTCTGGGCACAGAACTAGAATATTTTTCATGTCTTTCTAGGAAAGACACATTCTGCTGTACAACAGCCTGTAAATGGATGTCTGAGTCTTCTAAGTTGGCTTCCCTAGGAATCCTCGAAGATTTCTGTACTCCAGGAAAGCTTTGATCTGTCTCCTTTATCTTCATATTGCACTGAGAATCCAGCTCCACAGGTTTATTTGCTTCATGTACATGAACTAATTTTTCAGTAAGCTTCACATACTTATCAGGTGCCTCCACAGGTAATTTTTCAGAAGACACAGTCTCTTTTAATAAGTGTTGAGGGAAAGTTTCATCCACTGTAACGGGTGTTGTATTTAGCTGATAAAATGATTTTTGCTCTTCTAGTGAATTCAGACTTTCATTTCGCAGATCTTCCATTGAACACTGGAGATTAATACATTCCATGTTTCTTGCCAGTTCTTCATATTCTCTGCTAGATGAAAGACAACTCTCATTGCCCCATTTTTTAATTCCAGGGGTTTGTTCAAGAGATCTCTGTAACACAGTGTTAAGGTCCACCAGCTGATCAGCATTCGGACAGTGATCGCTCAGAGTAGATTCTAATTGCAGTTGGTAAAAAGATTGTTCAGATCCTGTTTTAAAAATTATCAAGGAGTCAAAATAGTAGCTAACACAATTTCAACTTTAAAAAGTCCCTCTGTAATAAGACTTTTCAGTAACGCACAATAAGAAGTCTCATAAATAAGAAGAAACATTTTGTTTAAAATAAGTCTGCTTTAGTTTATTCAAATGTAATGCCATCAACATTACATAAAATGCCTCCCTCACTGCACACAAAACAGTTTCAAGAAACAATGCTTTCTGTTGCTTCTTACAATACGTTTAGGGACAGACTTCATGATGGTGCTGACATAACTACATTGAAAGTTAATAGACTTTACAACTTATATTCTGTAAATAGAAGTCCTTTGAATCCCTTTCAGGCCTCTAAGTTTCTAAAACAGGAAGAAAACAATCCAAAACACAATTACTTGGACAGAAACTCTTCGAAGTAGAAGAAAACATCCAAACTGGAACAATTATTACTGTTTCTACAAGTTATAATACTGCACCTTACGTTATCTTTCCTTTAGGATCTACACATCTTTTTTTTTCCAGAAAAGGCTGGGAAAAAAAAAAGATCAAGTAACATTTTAATTACTGGGGAGGCATTGCAGCAGTACAGCATATGTCGAACAGGCAACAGGGCTATTTTTTTTTTTTTTTTTAAATATGCCTCTGACCTAAGTTTGACAAAATCGGTTACACAGACTCCAGCATCATGCTATCAATAGGCTTTTTATACACACAGGAATATACCACAAGCCTTCAATGGTTTTCTTTAAACTTTTTTTTTTGGCGTTCTTTGACACCTACAAAATATCTAGTTTTACATGTATAAAGAATATTGTCTCCTGATAAATAGCTGTTAATGGTGAGGAAGGAATTATACTGCAACACCAGCCATCAATAGAAAATTTTCCAGATGATGAACTTGCATACCAACCTACCTTGAACTGACAACCCAAAATATTTTTTACTTGCTTAGCCTGTTGCTTATATTATTTTTTGCCTCCTTTTAAAGCACAACAATAATTGGTTTGGGATTATAAAAACACTTAAGAGATAGAGACATATTGCAGTTACATTTAAAGAACAAAGATTGTTCTCATAAGCAATTTAGAAATACAGTGTTTTGAAGTTAGAAGGGAGCTCCCAAAATCCTATTTGCTGTGACCACTGGTAGTCTCAAAGTGTAAGCCTTTTCTGGCATCTTTTACTATTTTTTTTTTTTGTACCAGCATCTGCCAGCTAAAGAGAAAGAGAAGTATGATATAGACAGAGTAGCTGCTTGCAGCTTTAAACATGAGTAGTGTGTGTTTCCAAAAATTACATGTATATATATGCAAATAACAAAGATAATTCATCAGGAACATTTACATTATAAATATATCTATTACTTAAAATGTTGTGCTGTGTTTCCTGTTACTGTTCAGCTTTCTGTTGCAGCACCTTAAAATGCTGAAACACATGATTCTAGGTAAATAAGAGCTTCAGAAATATTCAGATTACTACTAGCTGCATTTGGAATTTTATATTGGTCCTTTTCTTTAGAATACATGAAATATCAAGTTAATTTGAATTCAACTTCAAAACTTTAAAAAATACTTTTCCTGCTATGAGCTGCAGTTGATTTAATACTCCTGTAGAATCATAAAACTTTTAATCTACTAAATTAATTACTACACTGTAATCTTAAAGTTCCTTCCTCTCTCTTCCCCTCCTTTATTTTGTAGATAGGTAAGATAGATAAAGCAATTCTATAATCAGACCAAGTATCACAGTATGCAGTATATAATGACTACTGTCATGACTTAACAATGGAAAAGGAAAATTCAATGGTTTCTTGAAGGACACAGTGAATAAAAGACAAATGAGTAAGATTAGAGAGATTCTAACACATACCTCAAAAAATTTCAATCAATTTTTGGAACTTAATTTCCTCAGACTTACAGAATGATGGATATGCATGAACAAATATTTGGAAAAGTACTTAAACTGACAGTTTCAGCCAGAGTTGATATTTCTTCACTAACATCATAATTTCTGCACAAGTAATAAGTAACATAATATCTATTACAGTGACTTGAATATGCAGGTCTACTCTTGTATTAAAGTTGTTCTTTATTTCCTCAGCAGTTACATCACAAAATTTAGGTGTTCTACCACCCATTAAAGGTGGTAGAGAAGACAGTGTGTGAGAGAGCAGCAGCAGAGTTAAGACATTTCAAAGTATAGAGAAGTGAAGAGTTCCTTCTTAGTTTCAACACAGCAAACCCACCTTAAAGGTTGGTATTTACATACTGGCAATAGGTCGATTTTGAAAGCATTAATCTGACTATACTGTACATACCCAGAGTAACATTTTCTTTAACGGACTCTTTGTCTGATGTGATGTTGTTTGTCCCATTTGTTTCAAGCCTAGAAGGCAAGCTGCTGCTTTGTGTATCTACACTGGAGTTTCCCACTTCCAGAAACATAGGCATGTCTTGATGTTTTGCTGAAAGTTTTGAAGTCTAGTGGCAGAAAAAAAAAATAATCTTGAGTCAAGATTCATTTTTTCAGAAGTGTGAAAGAAAAAATTAAAGGCATTATTTGATTTTTGCATCCCATTTCTGCTACAAACAGCAAAAAACCCTTCCAGTTCTAAGTATATCAAAACTGTGTTTCTTCTAAAGAAGACAGTATAGAGATTATACATTTAAATCTTACAGAAATCTTAAGCCAAAATATTTACTCCATCAGAGCTTTTTGTAGTACCTTTCTAAATTCTCTACTGTCTTGTGAAATTCTGTATTGAGAAAAGGATGATGAAGCATCAGAGTCAAGACTTGGTTCCAAAGGCTGAAAGAGCTGGAAGTTCGGAAAATGTCCCTCAATTTCAGGAAAATCGAGTTCAGCTGCTAGAGCTATAAGACAAGGAGTTATTTTAAAAACAGAAACAAAAAACCCCCAATCCAACCCCTCTCAAACAACCAGAGATATCACACCTTGCTTCTATACACAGTAAATAAAGCATATAGAATTCTGCAAGTATTCAAATACTAGCTTGCATAAAGAAAAAAATCTTTACGATATCCAAGTTTCTCAGTCTGATACTACACAGGTACAAAGAGCAGCAAGAAACTTCTATACTGATGCATTTTTTTTTTTTTAATGAAAAGCTTAAATTGATAAGCTCTTTATTCAGCACTTCTGAGACTGCATCACAAGTATTGTGGCCTTCCCAGTACAAAACAGTGACGCATGTCCAAGGAAAAGCCATAAGGATGGTTAAAAGAAGGTTGAAGCACACGATGTTCAGAGATGCTAAAAAACTGAGTTTGTTCAATATTAAGAAAAGGCTTGGAGGTGTGAGGAAAGGAGCACAGAAATCTCTGCTGTCTACTACATCCTAAGAGACAGTATAGAGAAGATGCAGTCAGTCTTGAACCATGTTCAGTGAAAGAAAAAGAGATAATGGACACAAGATGGAACACAGGAAATTCTAGTTAGATACAATTTAAAGAAAAAAAAAATAAAAGGAGGAAGTTGTTAAAATGTTGCCCAGGGGTGTGTGGAATCTCTGTCCTTGGACACACTCAGAACTTGCCTGGACAAGGCCTTAAGCAACCTGGCCTAAATTGGCTCTGCTGTGAGCAGGAAGGGGGAGAATTCGGATCACATGATCCTGGCTGGCCTAGACTAATCTCGAATTCTATGACTCTAGGTTTTCAAACACTCCAGGAGGAAGTGGTTCAAATGAAAATACTAGGGTTATCTCCGCAATAGCTAATAAAGATGTACATGTACATAAAGCAAAGCATGAAGAACATCAAAGCAAAGTTCTTGCACGTAGAATCTTTACTGACTTTAAAATGTAGTCTGTATTATTTATATTCAGCTTAACACAGAACACTGAGTAAACTCCTCCTCATTCTGTATGAGAGTACAGTACAAAAATGCTTTAAAATGACAAATACCTTGGAAACATGTATTGTCCTCTGAGTAAGAGTTCAAGTCTCCAGTACATTTCCCCAAGATCTGCTCTATCTGACTTCCTTTATTAATGTACATCTCTCCTTCAGGCAACGAGGAGTTCCAAGGGCAGCTTGCTGTTTCTCTCAAAATTCGATCTTCCGTACTATCAGAAGACAATCCTATAATAGTAAGCTAGATGTTCACAGTTTTGCATATAAACCACTTATAAAGTCATCCGAAAAGACACTGCTTAATATCCTGAAATATTCATAGAACACTCTGCAGTTTTCTTTAATTGTCTTTTGTAAGTGCTCCCACAAACCTTACCACAGATTTCCACAAATTCAAGTAAATAATATCTAATTAGGTAGTAGTCAGTACAGCTTAGCACTTTTAGAGTATGTAGACTTATGAAATACTGAAACAATAAAATAAAAAAAAGATTAATACTGTTATATTATGCTGGCTAGCATATTTTTACTTCTTACCACCTAAATGTGTCAATCCTTTAATGTGATCTTGAGTATCTCTATGACATTGGGCAGTAGTTTAATACATGCTTAAATAGAAGTTGCCTAATACCAACACAAGAAATCTGAAGGAATCAAGGAAACCAGAATCATGTTCCTAGTTAGAGTACCAACCCCTCCTTGTCTACACGCTTACAGAAGAATTGCACAAAGCTCTTGGAAAAGGTCGTTATTAACCACTGACTGTATAATAAAGACATAGCTAGACTTGAAAAATTTATTCATGTAGCTAAGTAACCAAAACCTTTCATTTTTTTCTTCCACAACTAGAAAAAGAAAAAAAATGAAAGTAAAATCTACAAATAAATGATCTTAGAATTTGCTTTAGCTTTCTTACATCAACAAAAACACAGCTTTGTCACGTGTTATGAAGTTAAGTTACTCATAGTAACACTTAACAGTTTAGAGCATTAGGATTAAAATGAGCCACAGAAATCTCAGGCTGCAAAAACTGTAGTCTTCAAAAATTGGTTTATAAACATGGAATAACTTCTATACACATATGGTTGTTTATGAGATCATATATGTGTCAGATTAACGCAATACTAAGTCTTAAAGTAAATAAATCCCCAGGTCACTATCTAATCACTTTCAAACTCACTTTCCATGTTCACAAGTGATAATGTCAGCATATAGAGGAGCAACCATATATTTATTAAAAAGGAATTATTTTTAATTTTATGAAAAGCTAACTTAAGATCAAAAGGAAGACTGCAAGCAAAAAAGGATATGAACACATATTTCCTAGAACACTATTAAAAGTCAATATGGTATTCAAATGGCATTTTCACAGATAAGGTATTAAAAATTACTACGGTGACAAGCAGGTATTGAAACAATTCTCTTAACAGAAAGACAACAATCACAGCTCCATAACCAACTAGGATATAGACTGATTAGAGAACTTATATCACTGTATCATTTGGGGATCTGTTGGTTTTGGGTTTGTGTTTTTTTTTTGTTTGTTTGTTTTTTTAATTCTGCCACTTGAAAACTGCTAGTGTTACAGTTGCTTAATAAAACTCAAAATATCCTTTGCCACAGCTGATGTGTTATAAAGCTAAGTTATTATAATAAGTAAAAAAAAAGGAGCACATAACAAAACATTCTAGTTACACTCAACTCTAAGATAGATTATTCATTCTTATGTGAAATTCCACATTAGCCTATTACAGAAGAACTTACTTCCGCTGAGTTAGACCCATTCTGCTATAAAATAAAGAGAACACATAATTTTCCTTTTACAAGAACAACAAAAAACCCAAACACTTACCAGTGTCAACAGGGCTTACATCCAACATTTCATTAGTCAAAAAGCTTCCAGTGGAAATTGTTGAAGATAAGTCACAGGGTATTCCTTGCATTAAAGCCTCTGAACCTAAACTCGTGGATACTACTTTAGAAAGTACTTCCTAGGATAAAATAGCAAACCTATTACCATGTATTCAGATATCCATGATGAAATGTTTAAAACCACACATTTTATTTGGAGCTCAGTTCAAGTGTAGAAGCCTTCATGTTTTGCACAGTCAGGCAAATGCAGATTTCATCATTGCTCAGTACAAAAGATTCACACCCAACATCCCAGACACATCACTCCCCAACAGCCCTCTCCCTTCACACACACACACACACACACACTAACTAAAGCCTCTCAGAACTGCATACAAATCATGACACCTGGAAGATTATTGTATCTTCTGGTGGTCAGATTTGGCTATTTCTCATCACAGACCCAATTCAGAAGAATTGTAGATCTCAGAGGAACATATACACAACACATGGAAAAACTCAGGAATTTTACAAGTATTTGCAATACCGAGCCTTTTGCATACTGAAGACTAATTTAATTATACTACATGAAGCTTAAAATATACAAAGTATTATCTTTCTTAAATTTGAGGTAAGCTCCACAAAGTCACAAAACAGAGAATAAGCATTCTTTTACTTCCAAATTTTGAAGAATTAGATGTGAACATTTCTTCCCAAGCTGAAATAAAAAGTGCACTAAGAAAACAAGACAAAAATTTCAGAAACCCTTCCCCTACGTTTCTCATTATACACTACCTTATATAAATATATTTAATATACACATATAAACCATGTACGTTTAAAAGTAATTTTATATACACACATTATACATAATATGTTTTAAATATCATTTTTATCTCCTGACAAAATGATGGGATCTCTGGGTAAGGAAAAAGCAGGGGATATCACTGGTGTTGATTTTGGCAAGGCTTTTAACACTGTTCCACAACATTCTTGTATCCCAGTTTGGACATCACAACCCAGATGGATGGACAACAATATGGGTAAAAAACTGGCTGGATAATCAGGCTCAGAGGACAGTGATTAAAGGCTTACACTACTTGGAGATGGGGAGCAGGTGGATTAAGACAGTGGGGCCAGCAATGTGCCCAGGTGGCCAACAGCATCCTGGCTTGTATGAGAGATGGTGTGGCCAGCAGGACTAGGGAAATGATCATGCCCATGTACTCAGCACTGGTGAGGCTGCACCTCAATCCTGTGTTCAGTTTTGGGCCTTTCAGAGAAAGGCAATGAAGCTGGTGAAAGGTCTAGAGCACAAGCCCTGTGAGGTACAGCTGAGGGAACTGGGGGTGTTTAGCCTGGAGAAAAGGAGGCTCAGGGCAGACCGTATCACTCTCTACAACCACCTAAAAAAAGGTTGTAGCAAGGTGGGTGTCAATCTCTTCTCCCAAGTAACAAGCGATAGGACAAGAGGAAATGGCCTCAAGTTCTACCATGGGAGGTTCAGACTGGATATTAGGAAAAATGTCTTTACCAAAAGGGTTGTCAAGCATTGGAACAGGTTGCCCAGGGAAGTGGTTGAGTCACCATCCCTGGAGGTATTGAAAAGATGTGGATGTGATGCTTAGGGACAAGGTTTAGTGGTGGACTTGGCAGTGACAGGCTAATGATTTGACTTCATTATCTTAAGGGTCTTTTCCAACCTAAATGATTCCATGATTCTTTGACAGGACTCTGTCCTAGGACCTGTTCTCTTTAACACTTTTGGCAATGACCCAGAGGAGGTGACACCACACTTTTATCAAGTCTGCAGATACCACTAACTTGGGAGGATCATATGATACACTAAATGGCAAGGCTGACATCTAGAAGGACCTCATGAGGCTAGCCCTACATGAATGTTATGAAACTCAGCAAGAAAAAATGCCAAGTCCAGCATCTGGGAAGGAAGAACTCCATGGATCAGTCCAAGCTGCGGCCTGACTGGGCAGCAGCCCATGTAAAAGGACTGTGGAGTCTCAGCAGAAAGCAAGCTGAGCATAAGCCCACAGTGTGCTCTGGCAGCAAAGAGGGACAACAGCATCCTGCTCTCTATGAACAGAATATAGCCAGCAGATCCATCAGTGATTACCTCTCTTTACTTGGTGCTTGTTATACTGCTGCATCTAGAATAGTGCACCCACTCTAAGCCTCCCAATACGAGCTAGAAAGTTTTAATCACAAAATAAACAGTAAGTTACATTGTATGGTTATTTCTATATGACTAACCGTATTATCAAGTCTGAATGATGGTCCAGAATGTGTTGCAACTCCCTCTCCAACTTCAGCAGCAAGAACTGGTGAATCTTGAGCAACCTGAGAATCCTGGGACTGGGCTGAACACAATTGTAATAAAACCAATAAGGAATAGAAAGAAACTTTTGAGTTCACAGTTAGCAATTTTTTTTTTTTTTTTTTTAAACACCAGATGGCAGTAATACTCTACTGCTGCTGTCCTCACTATCTGGCCACTGATTTTGCCTGTTCTTACTGCTTTCTTCTCAGCTGCACCACACTTCCTCCTCCACTGTACCACCAATTTAATTGGCAACCAGCGGTTCTCCTTGATTGAACTTCCCAAAATTTCTAACTAGCATGACTGCTCTCTGCAGAGCATGCAGGAAGAGATAGAAATTCATGCTTTGGCTTTACAGAATGAAACATGGTTTTGCTAGTGTTACTATAATCATTTAATGGGGGTGGGGAGAATCTTTTTCATCATATTTTTCATCATTACAATGATTACAAAGAAAAGCAGATGTTCTAAAGTGGATCAGAGAAATCAGAAACACTGGGTTACTTAACTGTAGCATAACTACCGCCACAGAACTGAATCACCTTTGCCACAATGCTCTTACACATGAAAATAAGATCAGTATCTGTGCAAAAGAAACACCATAGCAGAACTAGAAAAATAAAAAAGAATTGTAATTTCTGTATTCAGTGCTCACAAGCACCTTCAAAGTTTGACAATTCTAAGACTGTAAATTAATTGCCAACAAACAACTTTAAGTATTCTTACTTCCAGTAATAATTTTCACGAAAAGTGCTAAATATCAAACTGAAATTAAACAATAGAAGTGAAGTAGGTACGTTTTCTCCCAGTTCTACAAGCGCTGGTAGTGACAGAGACATTTCAAATCCCCAGCATTTGTAAGACTTTGGCAGATCTTGTACCATTCTGTGAATCCTAACGCTAGTACCTTGTATAAGCTGAAATTGAGTTTCTTACAGGAAGGTGGAATCTAGTTGTTCCATTTTTTCCTACTATACAAAAAAAAAAAAAAAGGCTGGGGAGAGGTTTCCTATGTGAGGCAACAGCAGTGAAGTATCTATCTGATGTGATACTTATGTATCTCAGTAAACATGAAACATTTTGAAACTCATTTCAAAGAGGTGGAATGGAAATCTAAGTTTTCCTATAGCCATATTCCAGTAGTCTTCTAGCAGAAAGTAGAAGACATGAAAGAAAATACATTTAAAATGTACTTATTTGTATTAAAAGGGAAGTTAAGCTATTCTTAATTCATTCACTGTGTTGTTACATTAAATGCTGACTGATCTCAAAATAAAGGGTAAAGGAATTCTCAAACGGTTTCTTCCCCCCCCCCCCCCCCCCCCAGATTCTCCAGAAACTTCTAGCAGGAATGATCCTGATCATTTATGACATTTTGATCGGTAACCACACAGAGCTGCTGGCAGTAGAGATTGCAAATAATATGAGAAGTGGAATAACGGTAAAGAAACAGAGTAACACTGCAGTGGTGAAAATGACCTCAACCTCCTGCAAAATGGAGTGTGTTAAACAACTGTTCCAATATAGATAAAATTATGCACTAAGAGCAAAAAACACTGGTTTCTGTTCCGTTTACTACAAGTACATGACAAAGGTCTTCAGGCTCAAAGAAAAGGTAACTTTTATGATTTGAGTAGAACGAGGTAGCAACAAGCTCCTTGGTTGGATGTGTCAGTAGTGTGACTTAGTCTAGATACACTGCACGAGTCTGCTCCTCTTCTTTGGAGCAGAATGGATGAGACAGAGGATATCCTGAAAATGAGCACAGCACTGAATAAAATTCCTTGAATCATTAAGAAAACTGCAATCATATCTCTTGGTATTTACGTATCTCCATAGGAGAAAAATACTCTGCACAGAGTATACAAGATTTCTAAACCCAAATAAAGTAATAACAAGAAGCAATGGCTAGAAATGGCTGTCAGACATTCAGAAATTCAGAAACTAGAAACAGACCATTTATTTTATAATTTGATAAAGAAATAAAATGCTGGAACAAGCTACCAAAGAATTCTCTATTTTCTGATACCTTTACATCAAGATTAGGTATTTTTCTGAAAGAAATTATTTATTTTCTAAAGGATATTAGTGTGACAGGTAGTAGTTTAAAGTATGCATGAGAGTCAAGCATTTAGCACTCTTTTGTATATAAAGTCTATGGAGAGCTGTGCTACAAATGTTTCATTACTATACTGTAATAACACACATTGTTCTTGTGATATGAACAGTAACAGTTTCACACTATAAACCAAATTATCTGTTTAAAAATACAACATGCTCACATCTCATGACTATCACGGTTTAAGAATACAAATGTATTTGGTGACTCAAAGAAGGCTTTTTTATTCTTCTCTTCTCCCTCCAAAATAACTGTGCGAGGTTCATGTTCCTCACAGCTTCCTGACATTGACATGGGACTTTCATGTTTTAACCTCTTAGCCACCACACTGTGAAAAAGAATTTGTATTTAAAAATCGAAGCTGTAATATCCAGAGTGCCTTTTCTTCTTTTATCTTTAATACTTTATTTTGAAAAAGCACGCGAGCTGTGATTAATAGGACTTGTGCACATCTAGTGGGTCTGTAATCATGAAAGCAGTACAACTTCTAAGTTGTACAGCTTTACATTATTTGATCAAATGTAAAAACCACCAAGAACATAACTTCAAAGAACAAGGTCAAAGATCACATGTACAAAGCACACACTTGCTCTCACCTGTAGAGATACAATTACATCTTAAAAACATGGGAAAACCGAAAACATGCTCTGGTTAGAATCAAGTAGTAAAAAAAAAAATTAAAAAAAAAAATCACCTTAAATCTCCCCCTCAGATATTTTATATTTAACACAGACTATAGATTTTCCTGAAGATACTGCACTAGTTACAGAAAGTATCACAGTGTTCCATAGCCTTCCAATTACAAAGATACTGTTGACAGTTTTGATAGTTTAACTGCTCAAGAGGACAATCTTCTTAAATACATAATCACAGAAAGCTTTGCCTTTTTTTTTTTTGATATAGATGGTCACATGAAGTTTTCTAATCCTCTTACATAAGACATTGCACCGTTCATATATAATACTTACTAGTATGAAAGGGCACTACGCTAAGATATTTCATATCAATTTGGTAATAGCTGATCTTCTGCAAATCCAAAAAATACAAGCCTTTTCTTAAATATTGTTAAAGAAAAATTTTTAAGTGATAATTTAAGGTTAAATACAGGTATATTTCAAAAAATAGTATTCTGAGAATTAAAGCAAGCAGTTGAAAGAAAATAAGCTTATATGTACTTACTCAAAACATCTTCAATTCCTAGTAAATCCTGATTGAACTGAAAAGTATGTCTAAGCACAAACTAAAAGAATAGTTATCTTAAGATTTGGGGCAGTGGTGAAATATCTAGCAAAACCAAGAGGTGTCTACAACATAGCTGTATTGCTCATAAAGATGTACAGATAAGGTAACAAAGTTGCTGAAAACTCTTTTGCAGCTCTAGTAATATATTTATTTTTGACAGATACCGAATACTGTACTGGGCCATGAGATGCTGTCATCTTGTAATAAGCTTCAAATTGCTTTAGTCAGCGTTTTGCAAATTTTGTGTAACAGTTCCTAACAAGTCAGGCATAGCACTTCTCAGTTACAGCAACAATAAACTGCATTTCCATCTGCAGGAAATTTATAGAGAAGCAAGTGCATTGTAACTCAAAGTACTGGAGCCTTTGAGTTAACATTATTCCAAGACTGGAGAGGTAAGCTGAATTTGTACAGGCAGGGAAACACAGTAGGAATTGAAAACCTTGATATCCACTTGTTAGTCCAATCTCTTAAACTTCTTAATAGCCTGCTTGCTTTATTTAACTAAGTCTAGGCACCTTTCTCTTTTCATAAGACAGTCAAGCTACCTACAACATGCTTAGTAGGTTTCAACGAATTTGTAACAAAATTATTTTAAACATTCACAAACCACTTTGTATCAAAAAAATAAAACTGGTTTTGTTAACGAAAACAACTTGGTTCAATCTATGGAATCAGACTTTGTCACATACAGACACAGCCTATCCTCAAAGATGTGATCTCTAATAGAAGCTCTTCACAGATGAACAGAAAAGATCAGAATTAAAGTAATCCTTACATTATTGCACTATTTTTATTTCTGTCATAACTAACAGCTGATTCTTTCAAAGTTGTTTCTTTGAGCTAAGGATAACACTCGGCCTTCTAATTTTTTGTGTCAACTGTATTTTTAAGCTATTTCTTATATAACCTGATCTTTCAGTGGACATCTACATCAGCATGTTAACACTCCAGAGTTCTATTTTAAGCATTAATTTCCTCTGTGTCAATACAAGGAATCACTGGGTACTGAATCAGGCACACCACTGGGCTGCCCAGAACAGGTACACACCTGGTGGGGGTGCAGACCTGAGCACCCCCCAGTCTGGGCAGAAGGTGCCTCCCTCAGAAGCAACTCACACCCGTGGCTTCTACAACAGTTTGCTCCCTATGCATGCAGGGGGCTCTGCTGGTAATGGCAAGACAATCAGGTAATATAAACTAAGTATCTTTACAGACAATTCTACAAGGTACAGGTACAAAGTACATGCATCTAATGAGAAAGTGTTAACTAGCAATGAAGTTTAATTCAGTGTGGACTTTTGTTACTAGAACAGTAATGGATCACAAAGAAAAAAAAAAAGGTAAAAACTAAGTCATTCTGAGACACATACGTATTGAAACACACTTCATGTTCTTTAACAAGTTAGGTCATGTGCTACAAATAAATAGCAGTAAAATTAGCTAGCAGTGCTGAATGGCATTCACATAATTCCTTCAAGGAAGAGAACTTCCTCACCTGAATCATATGATTTCTCAGCAGTCATCAGCAGCACCTCCTGCAATAATCTACTTGACTGTTTACTTTGCCTTGGACTCCCATTAGAGATTTGTTCCTCATAGTTTGTTATGCTCAAAGGTAACCTGCCGCCTTCACATACGGCATGACCGTAACGTTTCACATGTGCAAACTCCGCAGTAGTCAAAATAGGAGAAGCTTCTCCACCAACAGAATCTGTTTTATCTGAATTTAAAACATTTGTAGTCAGTTTAGGTATAGAAATTAATGTATTTTATTAAGTGCAAAACACTGCAGGTGCATATTCCATTCTACAGAAATAACCTGCTGAATTCGTAGACTGACGCATTTTGATAAAGTTTGTCATATCAGGTCAGTAAAAACTTTTGCATTACACAATCTATGGATTATACAGGATGAAAGATACAGCTCAGACGTCTCAAAAAATAATTCCCAACTCAACTATTTCTTCTAAAAAATTTCCAACTAGATTTTCCACACGGCAAATACACCAAAGTTTTCAGTAATTTTTCCTAGTCCAGAGACAATATAATTTCTCTGCTACGATTTAAAGATTTCTTGCCAACCTGCCCCACACAACAGACCTTTTCAGCCACCCAATCCAATTAAAAAAAAAAACAAGTTCAACTTTTTACTACTTACCATGACCAATGGTTAGGTAATATAGGAATAAATCACATCTGGATCATAATGGGATTACACAGTTTATGAGTATTCCCCCTACTCTAGAACTGCAGAGGATAATATTTCAGAAACCTTTTTTGGTATGTATTTTGATTTTTAATCTTTTTTTTAAATTAAGATGCATAACACTAAGCCAAATGCTTTTTAGAATACAAATATCAATCTAAACCTTCACCAACAAAACTTGTTGTCTAATCAAGATACCAAATTGGTCCAACAATAATTATTCTGCATAAACTGCTGCTGACTAGCATTAATTACTTTTCTTTAATTAAAGGACGTCCCATATCAGATGTATCATTATTTTGTTCAAGATGAATGCCAGACTGACAGGCCTATAATTACTCAGATTGTTCTGCTTAACACTTAAAAATACTGGCATAATATTAAAACTCTTGCAAAACATGAATTAAATTTTAGCTAGGAAGAGACTTCACAAAATAAATATTAAATGTTTACATTTAGAAAAATATCAGTTTATTGTACCTGTTAATTGATGTTCCTTACAGAATATTACAAAGCATTACATGCAGGCTGTAACAAATATACTTAGAAAACAGTAATTGCTTTGTATAGTTGCTCTCTGAAATTTTTACAAGGACCATTTTGTAATCGAAAAAAAAGCAACCAAAAGGATGGTCTAAAAACTTCTGTTGAAGCTTGATATTAATTCCTTATTTAAAAGATTCCATACTCACTTTCTTGGCATGCTCAAAAGCTAAACCTTTAAACACCATCCATCAACTCTGATGGTTCTCTCTATGATTTTTGTACAATTGCCTATTAACACAGACCCTGCCCAACAGAAAAATCAACAGGGAACTTAAGTCATGGAATTACAGTAAGTTTTATTTTCTTGGTGAAATTTTGTTTCAATTATCTTTTTCTAGACAGACACTCAACTGTAACTTGCTTTGCTAGTATATAAAGTATACCTTAAAAAAGGCAACAATATCAGTTATTATTTCATAATCAATCATCTCAAAGATTCTCCAGAAAAGATTAATTGCCTCCAATTTCTGTTTCTCAGGAACAGCAGCATTTATTATATAATTTATATCCATATATACGTATATGTATGTACTTTACCTGCAAAAGACATGTTGCAACTCTTTGGTGTGTCTACCTCTGGTATAACACTAAGTTCATGTTGTTCCAAATCAAGCCCTAGCTTGACTTTAGCCACAGGTGGTTTGGAAGATCTCCATCTTTGTTCTTTACATAGAACTTTCTCAGACTGTTCTGTAAAACAAAGTTTTGCATGTTGCAATAATATATATATACACACACATATATCAAATTAACTTGGGGAGATGGAAGACAACTCCATCTAAGCTGCAAAAAGAGAAAAATTATAATGAAAAATACTACACAGCCATACCAGTTTGCTCAGCTGGACTGATGCACTGTGAAGTTGTTTCACTTCCGTGAAATTTACGCCTGCCACAATTCTCTTGCTGGTAGTTGTCTGAGAGTTGGAAAAAGTCAGTCTTATTAATCCAGTCAGGCTTTTGTGTCTCTGTCATTTCTTCATTTGTGCAGATATGTCTCACCTTAGAAGTGGGGGAAGGGAAAGCAACTGTATATAAGATCATATTTATACTCATTTACCAAATCAGCATTTTCTTGTGTGTGTATTCCATGCAGGATAATATTGAGGACTTTGAAAAAGTAGTTCAAGTATGCAAAATACTGTATAGACTCGCTTAATTTACAAAAATATTTGGACATATAGGTATTTTATTTAGATCTAAAAACCTGATGTGTTAAAACATAATTATTTATATTTTCAAGGCCTTTGTGGTATTAGATCAGAATACTCAGAATTTTTAGCAGGAACAATTCCTGAAAAGTCTGCTTTTAGTTTTTCAGCTCATGATTTCAGGAATTTTGGTGGCTTGGAGATTACAAAAGCAAGCGACAGGGACTCTTGGCAACAGTTATTTTTCTAAGATGGCTTCTGTTTAAAAAGAAAAGGGGGAGGTGGACACGAACGAAGCTTCTTTAGAAACTCAAAAATAATCTTGGATTTTTTTTTCCTGTTACCCAGAAAGAAGCAAAATTACAAGTCAAGAGTACAGCTGCCAAAGCAATTTCTTAACAGGTGCAAATAAAAAGACAAACTTTAAAAAAAAAAAAATCTATTCAAAATGCTTACGATATCCTTCGAGGCGATGCTTAAGTATGTTTAATACAAGAGCTGTTTTACACCTACAGCTGCATTTCTAGAGCTGAAGAAAACTATACCTGCAGATATCTCAGACAACATAACTATTTCAGTAGGCATTATGTTCAGAGATCAAGCACAGAAGTTCAGACTATTTCTGTTAGGCTGAACACAATGTCACTCTTGGGGCCTACAGAAAACATCTACCAGTAACAAATCGCAAGTCCTAATTAAAATTTTCATTATCGTAAATCACTTAAAACTATCAACACACCATGGGACACTTTACTAACTGGCAACATTCACTCTTAAGTTCGATCACCTACTAGATGACTCACCATGCAAAGCATTTATAAAGCTTACCTGCTTATTCAGAAATTCTTTCAAAACCTCTTGCTGTCTCTGCATCTGTTCCTTCAATTTATCTTGCTTCTGTAAAAGTAGTTGTTCTTGTATTTTCTGCCTAGAAAGAAGAGCTTCTCTTTGTGCATCCAGCTGCTCTTGCAATTCTTTCAAATACTTTTGCTGAGCTTGGATGCTTTCTGATGAGGCCAACACTCTGTCCCTTAAATTCAGTATACCAGAATAATTTATCAAAGATGCATCTCCTGGTTTTGAGATCAAAAATTCCTGAACACCCTGGGCTTTAGATTCTTCATGAGGTAAAGTCATGGGTTCAGGAAAATTGAGGGGTGGTTCAAGGCTTGTTTTGATGGTACTCTCTGCAGATCCCTGCTGATATGCTAAAGAATCAACTGAGGCTGCCTGAATAATATGAGGTTCCTTTGTTGCTGGCATGAATGGTGTCTTAAGCGGAAGCTCTTCAGCTTCTGTTTCTGTTTGATGGTTAGATATCTTCTGAGAAGACTCTTTCAAGTGCACTGTTTCTGAAGGTTCAGAGGAATCTTCTGCAGGCAAAACAAATCTAACATGCTGTACACGTGCTTCCGGTTGTGTTCTTACTGCAGTGACATCTTTCATTACTAACCCTGATGGTAACTGAAACCGAGATGTTTCTCTGACATGATTATTGGAGGTTTCCAACATTCCCACTTGTTCCTGTGAAAGGCAGCCACATGGCAAATGCAACTCCCCATGCTTCAATTTTGATGCTTCTACAAACTGCATGTGTCTGCCAGGACAAACATTACACATTTGCTCTTTGTGTTCCTGTGCTGATGTTTTTTCCGACATACGGATCATTCCTGAAAACACAGGTAGCGACCGCGCACACTCTTGTGCATGAACTTGTTCAGATGACTGGTCCTGTGTTGGTTGCACTCCTTGCCTCTGTAGAATTGGTTCTGAGACAGGCTTTAAATAAATTGATTTTCTTTCCAAAGAGCTCGGTGGTGTTACAGAAGACACGTATCTTTTTTTCAGTTTATTCTGATACTCCTGTAGATGCTTTCTAGCTTCTTCAATGGTCTGTTTGTGCAGCCTGAATAGAATGAAAACATTAATCTTTTCGAAGTGGTGCAAAGATAAACATCAATTTCAATAATCAAAACAATTCAAATCATTTTGAAACAGGCAACCCAGACTTTCATTTCATAAAGGAATTCACCTATTTTGCTGTAGAAGGCGTTGCTGATAATCACGAATCATCTGTATATGGCTGTCTTCTCTAGGACTCCTGGTTTCTGACACAGTAGTATTTCCAGTCTAATCAAAATTAAAAAAAATTAAGCGCACACATACAAATAACTCAAAGAAAACTAAAGTTGTATGTTCTTTCTCTTAAGCTTACAGAAGCCACTCTGTACCACCGTTTGAAGTCTGTGAGATTTCAGCCTGAGGCAATGAAGCTAAAGCAGTTTCTGGAACAGATGGCCTACAGCTACAGTCTCCCTCGGCAAGTTGAGCATACGTGCCAAAGTTAATGGTGCTTACAGCAGCTTAGCTCAAAGAGGTAACTGTACCCAGTAGCAAACTCAGGGAGCAATGATCCAACAGAGCTGCATTTTCAAGGCAATCAGATTCTCAGAAGAGTAAAAATTGTGCAAAGGAATCAAGATTTTAAAGATTACTTTCCTTCAACATCCTCAATAAATTCCTGTCCTTTAAGTAGCTGTTTAAGATTTAAAGAGACAAAGATGTAGACGTGGGGGTTTTTGTCCTTTTTTCCCCCCCCTAAAATTTTTTTTTCCCCCTTCTTGAAAAAGGATAAGTATACATGCATAATCATTATATGACTCTAATCAGATTTTACTAACAGGTATTTTAAACAGACATGCTGTTCCTGGTACTACACAAACACAATCCAACATTCGAAGTCCAGTGATATGTGAAATTCAAGCTTCTGCATTAGGAAGCTTTTCTATGCATGAAGTTCTGATTCATAGCCTAAGAAATAAAAATTTATTGCCTCAATACAATTGAAAATTGGCAAATGGTGCTCTTGATTTTTATAATAAAGATAATTGAAAAGTTACACACAATTTTCTACAATTCTTCACCTCAGGTTCCACTTTGTTCTGCTGATCTGTAGAAGGAACAGTATGAGTTTGCACCAGCTGGCCTTGCTTTTCCTCCCCTTTTTTTTTCTTAGACTCCTCCAAGCAGGTTTGTATTTGGATCTTCAGAAAATCAGCCTCCAAACGTGCTCTCTCTTCTTCAATTTGTTTAAGCAAGGCCAGTTGTTCCTGTTTCTGTTGTTCTATTTGCTCCTTCTATTGTGAAGAAAAATGAGGGTGAATCTCCAGAACTGAATGAGAAAGAAAAGACCCCTCTCACACACACCACCACGCACAAAACTTTGTTCCAATTTACAGCAGAGATTTTAGTGTTTGTGACAGGCATTTCCAAATTGTAAGAGGCCTTTAAAAATAGTTCCAAGGTTTACAAGAATAATTTTGTTTTACTGGCTAGATATTTCTAATAGTCCCTGAATCAATTTAATATTGCACTATTATGTGTTCTCAAATTAATAGAATGTATAAAATCATAATCTAACCATTCAAGATACATTATCATTTTCCAGAGACTGCAAAAGAAGTCCTCCTCTTAAATTGAATTTGGAAATCTACTTTGATGAAAAGCTCTATAAAATGCAAGAGTTCAACACATTTAGATGTTAATTCAAGCCTTACAAAACTTCTGAAATATCTAATGTACTTTAAGAGCACTCTATAAATCTCTGAAGTGGTCTGTTTATTTTTATTCTTTCCATATACCTATCAACTACAAATTACTTAGATCCACGCATAGCAACAGCAAATATATTTTTAGAATGGAAGCAAATTAAAAATCCAAAGTACTAGTAAAGATGAAGTGGACAACAGCCTTTAATGAGACAGTCTGAATGGGGATGTTGGGAAGACCAACACGAGAAAAAGCTAGACCTGAGAACAGTTAACGTGAACATAGCAATATATATACCTGGGCAGGTAACAAAGCATTTTCACAGAGGATCTGCTGTCTTTTTTTTTTTTCCCTAAAACAATACAATTTTGTCAAATTTTCACTTCCTGAATTTCTGATCTTTAATGCTACAATTTAAGGCTGCACTGAGATCTAAATTTCAACTTTATTTTTTTTAAATTGATAAACAACCACAAAATAGCTGGTAGGTCTCTAAGGATACAACAAAAATGAAAATATAATGAAACGTATATAAAATACTTATGAAATAATACGCAAAGCTATTATTTTAAAAATATAATAAATGTAGTATTCTCATAGACACAAAAGACTTTCTGCATTTGTTTTCTAGTTAACAGCAAACAACCAACCAAAATACTCAAGCTTTAAGCTTTTCCTGTCACTCTAAACAATCTCACAGACCTTCCTACATTATTACACAGGGTTAATAAAGTTTTCACCGAGTTCTGTATTGTTGACTATGTCCTTCCTAAAGCAAAGGTATTAATGTACAGCTAGGATCTCATTTAATCATATGATGGCATCCCTTGCCTATAGCACTTGTTGGATTTTAAGAAACTGGGTTTTTCCATTCTATTCTAAATTCCAGCTAGAGCTTAGTCATTTTAAGAAGTTAATACAAGCTAAGCATAGAAAATGTTACAGTAAAAGTTTATTTAAGTGTTATAAGCATGTTAAAAAGGTCTATAGCTGCTGTGTAACCTGAAGCATTTTAAAGTCTTCCATAAATCATGGTTTTTCACACCATAACTGAGGTAGGAATAAGTACACACACACTTACCCACTTTTGTCTCTCCTCTTCCATTCTAATTTTAGCTGCTTGTTCTTGAGGATGGATTAGAACTGGATTTCCAGTTGTAACTGTATTTTCCAACATTTTCACAGAATCTAAAATATACATGTTATTTAACTGTAATTGAAGTCAGAAAGTGTCTTGGATCCTTCTTTACATCTTGCTTTACAGTTGCCCAACCTCTCCAAACAAAATTTTAGAAAAAGATTACCATCTCCATCCCACTACTCTGCCTGTCTCCATAAACTGGAAAATTAATGACATTTTAGCATGTGTCTTGCTTGAATATACAGTAGTGGCCTAGCTCCAACAGGACTGAATATTACTTCTACCCAGATTACTTGATAGCCTAACAGCAAGATTATCCTGAGGAATAAAGCGCCACACTAACTTCTTGGAACAGAGGGTCTAAAACTGGCACTCTCTGGGCAAATGATCTAACATTTGGCTACTGCACAGAAAGCAAGCCTTCATCCTGTACTAGCAGCTTCAAATAGCAGCACATTCTCCCCAGAGGCATGTTTTCACTCATGTGGCACTCTCCAAACCCCAGGCATTATGCTGGTATATCCATGATGTACATGACTGAACTAAATCACTTAATCTCATTTTAAAATAACAAGCACCCTATGAAAGAAAAAAACCAAACAAACAAAACAACAACAAAAAAACCCCAAACAACACTCCCACACCTTGATCACTTTAATACTTCTGAAATCCCACTTAACATACAAGTTCACCTACTTCAGCACTAGCATAACCAAAAAAGCACAAAGAATAGAAATGAGAAGTAACCCCACAATGATGTGGCTACCAAACAAAATGGAACATTTAATTGCTACAAATTCCAGCTTCAAAGAGGCTTTTCAGAATGGTGCCTAGAAGTAGAAAAACACCCCCATGATTGAAGACACATCAGCTCGTGCTTTGTCTTGTGCATTTCTAGCTGTGAATCTCTGAAGCATCTGGCTTTTCCTGTTCAAGAGGTACAGAAATTCAGTGCCCAATTTTGCACTGAGAATTCCACTCCTGGAGGCAAGTAGCTATTAAAGCATAGCAACACCAGATGTGATAACAATTTGTACAAGATTTAAAAGATACAAAATTATTTTGGACATATTTTCTCCACAAGGATCTTAATGGGCAGGTTGGACATGGGAGCAAAACCTTTCCCATTTGTGGTTTCAACACATCCACAATGCATTGTGGGCAAAGATGGGAGAATTGTACTTCGTACTTTCTGGCAACATATCAAGACACCACCACTGAAGATTCATTAAACAGTTTTGTTGCAGTCCACCCTTACGAGACTTTTTGCTCCAGCATAACAAATTTTGATGCAAGTATGTGTTACGTACCTTTGGTTTCACATACTGTATTTTTCTGTTGCTCATAGTTAAGTTCTAAATCACATAATGGTTTCTCTTCACTAGCAATTGTGCCTGATTCAATAGTCTCAATTTCACCTTGAATCTCGTTCTCGCTTTTTGACATCCACTCCTGTTTTTGGCTTCTAATCTTGTTTAGCAATTTCTTTAAGGCAAGTTTTGACTGAGGTTGGTGAGTTTTTGCTTCTTCATGACCTATAACGAATATATACTGTTAAGAATTTTGGGTAATGAACATCTTCACATCATAAAAACAAAAACAAAAAAAAAAAACTTTTTTTTAATTAATTGCTTACACAGTTGGACAAATAGCTCAGGTACATTACCAAGTTTTAAAAGCTTCAGAAACAAGCAGTACTGCCTGCCTGTATGTTCCTGTCCTCTCCTTTGTATTAGCACTAGCAACACAATGCATCGCAGGCCAAAAAACTGATTGTGGCAGCAAATGGATGTGGCAGAAATGCTTGGTCAAGCAGCAGAGTTCACCAACACACTTGTTCACATGACATTATCCTGTACATGCCACAAGTACACACACACACACTCATACATGTGCAACTGTTGCAGCCTACTCACAATACGGAGTAACTCAATCACAAACCTGAACATAAAGGGCATGCAATAAGTAGACTTTCATACAAAGTTAAAACTTCACTTTGAAATATTTCAAAGCACAAAATGAAAATTTAAGTTCACATACCAGCATCATAGCATGATTTACACCAATTATATAGAAATAATTATGGCTACTAACAGTGTAGTTCTTACAACAATTAAAAATTATTCTCAGTATACTAATGAACTGAAGTATATTAGAAAATGAAGTCACATTTTTTAAATTCATAATAATTAGAGTACTATCATCCATTACAAACATCATAAACCACTTGATACTGAAGTACTTCATAGACATTAAGGAATTTTAGTACTTAAGTCTTTTTAGTAAATACTAAGGTTAATTTATTTGATATATTAAACTAAATCTCTTTTACCATAAAACCAAAAAGTTTAAGCTAAACAAAGTTTAAAAGCTTTACTTTCTGATTCATTGGGGATCTCCTCTTCTATCATCTGTCTCGATTCTTGTCGAGTATCACAAGTAGATTCTGGTTGAGTGTCACAAGCAGATTCTTGATCCAAAGAGATATCAAGATCATTATCTTGAGATCTGTCAGCGGGAGCTGGCAAAGGCTGTGGCTCAAACTGCAAAATCAGGTCTCCTTTCAATTCTAATTAAATAAAATGACCAATTGGAATAAAAAGCAAACAACATTGCAAGACTACACTCATCATACAAAATCTTAAGAAGTTCAAATATTGATAGCTTGTTTCACAACAGATTTAATCCAACTTTTTCCAAAACAGAATATTCAAAATTGTTTAGAACATTAGCCATCTCTTGATTCAGAAATTCTAGTGTTTTCCACTAGAATATGCTATGTCTTTCAAAATAAAAGTTTATGTGATAAAAGGCTCATCTTTACACAGAGCAGCACACAGGAACAATTACACACAGAAGGATCACAGTAACTTCAGCAGGGTAAAGACACATCCTGACCTTGCTGCTCACAGGGCTGTCACAGGAAAATGACTGATCACACAGTCCAGGTGTGAAATCCTAGAAGACTAGTCAACAGGAGTTCTCCCACCATCACCTTACCGACTGAGAGGGTCACTGGCTACAAGGGGTGTGGGACACATGGGATGATCATCTTGGAACTGTATGCTTATTCCAGATACTTAGGGGAGGAACCAAAGGCAGGGAAAAGGAAAGGATTAAGTTAGTCTGGGGAGATACAAGTGTGAGGAAAAAGGTAAGAGGATAAGAGGGGCTAGTCAATACGCTTGTCTGGCCATGCACTGTGTCTGACAGTCTGTCCTGTCTTCTCACTAAATTCCATTTCCAGATGTTTTCCTGGGTGAAGAACCCTCTATTTTTTTTGCATGTGTGTATCAATATAAGGGGCAGAAACTGGAGTGGGGACCTAAAGTCACAGGGGCACCTGTGTTCAGAGCACTGCCAACTGCAGAGACCAGAATGAGTACATATCATGTGGGTATGAGTATCAGCAAGCAGTGGCTAGCAAAACACAAGCCAGAGTAGCCAGCAAGAATGATAAGAGGCTTAGGAGCCAGGTATCAAGCAGCCATAAGACTGGGCTGGATACTGGAGAGGTCAGGGGATCTGCAAGTTTCCTAGTGAAGGGATCAGGAGATCCAGGCCTCCAAGCCAGCTACAGGGGAGACCATGGGGTCTCAGGGTCAACTAAAAAATCTGCCAGCACATGTACGCGCATCTCAGACAACTGGAGACAAGAGGATCCAGGGTCAGCTACTGGGTAGACTGAGTATAAAATGTCAATTAACACAGGAATCCATAGCATGCACATGTCTGTGCACATGTCCACATATCCAACTGGGACTGTGTAGCAACAACTGGAGTGGAGCAGCAGGTCTTGGGGGTTCACGTGCCCAGGAGCCAGCAACTGAGGAGACTAAGGATCAAGAGCCAGCTGCTAGGTAAAGTGAGTGTCTAAAGCCACTTACGGAGTGGCCTGTAGCATATATTTGAGCATACCAGTGCATACGTGGACATGCAAGGTAACTGGACAACTACCAGATCCAGGATGAATTACTGGGTAGACTGGGTGTCTTAAGACCTGTTACTGGTGGATCCATGGTGTGACAGGTAGAGATCTAAGACACAGGAGATAACTACTGACTAGACTGTCAAAGTCCTACTTGCTGGAGGGGTTCATACTGTTATAGACATATATCCCACTAACAGTCCTTCATCCTGATCAGAGCTGTGAACGGGCTGAGGCCATCTGTGCTGTTTGTGTTCAATGTGAGTGCTGTGTTTTCACTGTTGTCCTGTGTGGCCAGCTCTGCGTACGTGTACCAAAGCCTGGTGGTGTGTGTGCCTACTGTGAATACACACAGCCCTGCTACCGGCTTCACCTGGGAACAGGTAGCTGCAGCAGCCTCTCCTTTACTGAGCTACCAGATTCAGCAACCTCCAACAAATTACTTACTCTTGTCTTCACTGTACATATCCTCAAATGCAAACTCCAATTCTCTCTGCCATTCTTCTTTTGCTTCCACGCGTTTGTATGCAGGCACAAAAAGTTGAGGTGGCATCTGCGCTACAATCTGTCTTCTGCGCATCCGATCGATATTGTGCATTTGCTCAAGTTCTTTCAATAGCCTTTCCCTGTCCTTCAAGTATAAAGAAGGGATAACAAACATTTAGGGTTCATATTCAGACAGCCATATGTCAGGACTGATAAAACACTTCCATTTGGTAACCATGAAGTTTGTTTAACTCTTCGTGTTCAAAGTTAATTTTATTCTAGAGAGAAGGTGCTTCCTTGGGAGAAGGCTATATCTGACCTTTAAACACAGGAGTCATCAATACTACCTAGAAGATCTAACGTTAAATAAAGAATCGCATTGTACACCTGTAAGCCAGCTTTCCTCAAAAGAATTGAATCTGTTTTATAAGCTAAAGGAGTATTTCCTTTGAGAAGTTACTTTTGTTAGTATATACTTCAGCAATTGCTACTTTTTAAGATGTGAACTAAATACTCTTGGCAAACTACAATTATATGTGAAAGCTATTTAAAAAAAGCTTTATCTGAAACTTAGGTTGTTTTTTTTTTTTTCCCCTGTTAACTTAAGGAGCACCAGTAATATTTCCACAGATCCCCAGTTTTAGTTAGGCTACTCATTCAGGGCCAATCATATCTCAACTGAAAAAACAGGAAGCTTTTACTATTTCTAGCCTCCAAAAATACTCGTCAAGGTAGCAGACAATGAAACAAATTTCAGAGCATACCTCTAGGTATAAAGACCTTTCTCCACAGTGCAGGTTTTACTTAAATGAAACAAATTTCAGTATTTCCAGACTTATACACTAACAGAACCTCAGCCTTTAAGTAATAACTTTGAAAAGTTTTACAAAAATAAAAAAACACATGAACTGTTGCCTTCTAATAATAAACTACTTTTTTCCCCTGAAGCACAGAATAATCAACTCCAACTAAAGGTGATGTGGAAAAGTAGAAGTCATCACCTATTAAAAAAGTTTAGCTTGATTATTACTGATTGGTTAATAGCTGTCATGATAACAAAATGAAAGGATATTCTTTCATTCTCCCTCCTTCCAGATAGACAAAATAAGCAAACAGAGTTTGATGTTTTTTTAAACACATTCTGGAAACTCCATTTAGTCCATCAATTTTAATTCCTATAATTCCTTTACCAATCATCTACCCACAACTTAACACTGGTCATTTTGACATTTAAAAGAGGCACAATTACTTTGCCTACCTGAGCCAAATGGACTTTCTTCAAGGCATGGCTTCCTCTGAGATGTGCCTTTTCAAGCTGCCCTCTTCTCTCCCTCTCTGCCTCTCTGTGTAGTTCCTCCAAACGTTTCCCCTCTTCTTCAGCAGCTAACCGAGCATCTAGCTGGCAGTCAATCAATAGTTTAGTCCATGAAGTTCTTTGAGGTAGTTTAAAGCATATGTAACAATAAATAAATCAATAATTCTGCAGCAATAGCACTTAAAAAAACCCCCATACAATGATATATGAACACCCTCAAAGGTTTGTAATTCTTGGTTGCAAGCAGGACCAAGCTAGTTTAACTTAAAAAAAAAAAAAAGCTTATTTACATATTCCATAAGTGTAGGTATTAAAGTATGCTAGTTTCAAGCTGTACTAGGGATAATTATTTGTACTTGTGTCCTGGTTTTGGCTGTGATAGAGTTAATTTTCTTCCCAGTAGATGGTATAGTGTTGTGTTTTGGATTAAGTATGAGAATAATGCTGATAACAGCAACAACTGAAAATGTCAGTGTAAGTAATGCTTATACTTAGTCAAGGATTTTTCAGCTTCTCATGCCCTGCCAGCAAGAAGGCTGGAGGGGCACCAGAAGCTGGGAGGGGACACAGCCAGGACAGCTGACCCCAACTGACCAAAGGCATATTCCATACCATATAACATCATGCCCAGTATATGAACTGGGGGGAGTTGGCTGGGAGGGGCAGATTGTTGCCCAGGGACTCGATGACTATGCAGGTGGTGAAAAATTGCATTGTGCATCACTTATCTGTCTTGGGCTTTATTTCACTCTCTTGTTATTTTTCCCTTCATTACAAATACAATAGTTGCAATTTCAATTAGTAAATTGCTCTTATCTCAACCCATGAGTTTCACTTGTTCTCAGTTCTCCTCCCCATCCCACAGAGCAGTGGGGAGGAGTGAGCAAGCAGCTGCACGGTGATTAGTTGCTGGCTGGGGTTAAGCCACAAGAATATTTTATAGCAGAGTGGTTACTTTTCCTACAATAAAGGTAAAATGAATAAAATAGTTGATATTACAGATTGTCTATTTCTGTACTCATTGTTTTGTTTTAAACAAGGGAGTAGAGGGTAGAAAACAAATCCAGAAGGTTTTTCATTCTCATTTGGGAAACCGAAAAAAATCTGAAATTTTTAAATAAGAAAAAACTTACTAGCACATGAAAATTAAAAAATACTTAAGAAAATTAAATCATAGCACATAAGCAAGGCTACAAAGATTAACATTTTGTAATTTTCCATTACGAAGCTGAGTAAACTAAAATATCCCCTCTTCTTGTTTATGCCTAGCCCTTCAAATGTTAAGAAAACCTAAAACTTCATGAATGCCCTGAAGAAAATAGTCACAACAACATATTTACTGAGAGAGCTTTTCTAGCCTAAAAAGAGGCTGGTCCAGAACAGGAACTTAGACTGTGGTCTCATCACCAATAAAAAAACCTGTTGTTTGGTTCACTTTTCTATCGCATTATCCCAATTCAAAAATTGCCTCTAAAGCTAAGCTTTTGCTCCATCTCTCGCTTTTCCAGGTCTCCCCCTTCTTCTGATCTGACTTTGGCCTTTGTCTGAGTTTACAGTAAACTTGAATAAACTTTCACATTTGGCAAAAATCTATTCATTGTTCTTTTTCCCCACATTAGACTTCTTCCATTCTGGCAAGCAGAAACCGTTTAATGCATGAACAGATCAACACAAATATGAGGTAAAGACTAGGAGTACATAGATAAAAAGAGAAGAAGAGAAAAAAAGTAGGGCAACTGCAACTATTAATTTAGCATAAGCCATAACACAGAAGATTTAGGTGTCCTAATGTTGTAACAGTCTTGTGAACTCACCTCCTTACAGAGGTCTGTTCATGTGAGACTGTCAGGTGTGATCCCACAAGTGACTGAGCACGTAACAGGCCTAACAAGTTTCCCCTTCTAAGATTCTGATTAGTAAGTTGTGTCATGGCTGCTTTATATAAGTTCATGTTTTTAAACAAGCTCTAGAAAATTCCATTGCTGATATCCAGATACTGTATGCAATATAAAGAAAGATATATGGAAGCATGTATCACAAACACTTGGGAGTTAATCACCTGTTCTTCATCTACTTCTTTGTCCACATAAGGTTCAAAAATATGGTAACGTGTAACAGAGAAGTTGTCAGCACTATATGGCTTCACTGCAGGAGTCTTTTTCACTTCAAAATTCTAGGAAGAAAAGTACAAGTACAACTGTATCAGAGAACGGCATCTCTAGCAAAGCAACTGAACAGAACATAAGTGATCCATACACTTAAATTGGTATTAAAAAGAAAGCCACCCCCCCCAAATTATCTTCTGAAAATATTGTTATTTGAAACTTCATATACATCTAATAATTAATAGATCACATCAGCACAAGGCAGATCTAGAAGGCTTAACAACTGAGAGCATCTAACAGCCTAAGGCAAACTCCTCCACATAAATTGACATTCATGAGAGCACAGTGCTTTTGTGTTTCAAAAGCATTACCTTAAATTAGAAGCACTTGAGCTTAATGTACTAATGTAAATCCCAGTTACAACAGCTGTCACACTCACCTCAAAGCAGGTCAACCACAGATCCACAATATAATTATATCTAACAGCAAAACAACACTTCAACTACAGACTTTCTTTATGAAACTCTGAACCATTATGTCCAATTTATTAGTTGACCACAGAAAGGAGTATTTCCGTGACTTCACTGAAAAGTATCTATTCATATAATACAAAGTATTTATTTCCTTTGAAATTTTTGGTTACACTAGCAGATTTCAACTCTTGTCCAAAAGAGTCTGAACACTGAGCAATCAGACCCTTACCCTTTTTTGGCTCAGCCTGATGCCTTTGTACTTCTAACATATCCATTAATCTTCTCTCAGCTTCTTCTTCCCTAGACTTTCTCCTAAAAAAGGATTCTTACCCACATTAACTAAAACAGCAAGTTTATAGCCTGAGTAGTTTAAAACTAACATCACTGTAAACAAATGCACATACATAAAGAGCAGCATTTAGTCTTAGGAATATTTTATACTTATCTCTATGTAAGATGAGGCATACAGAACTTCAGTATTGATTGTCTCTTGCTATTTTATAAAGCTTGTACAAAGTGGAGTCTTTAAATTAAAATCCTAAGATACACAACTAGTTTTAGCCTTATCAACAGAAGTAATTTATTTTGTGGTTCTTAAGTAAATGCATGTTATTCTAGTAGTAAGAAAAAAAAGATGTACAAATACAAGAATTCCACTTTTATTTGTACATAACACTGTTTAAAAATTGCTAACTTGTTTAATCAATAAATCATAGTAATTGTAATATCAATATTAATCAAAATGCTTGTAAATACTGATTATAGCTCTGAAAACAAGTCCCATACCTAACCCTCATTAACCAGATCATCAACTGCTTGACCTATACTGTTACTTTCCAAATGTACAATTAAACTCCAGTCTTCTGATTTATTTAAAAATATGTAAAACTTACAAATCAGTAATTAATAATTGCATTTAATCAATCAAATCTCCAGAATTTTATTCAGAAGTTGTAAGAATTATATCAGAGGCTGAAATTTTTCAACCTAAATTGCTTTTGACTTTAAAAGTATTACTTTTTCCAATTAACATTATGACACCACATAATGGAACCACTGCAGTTAAGAATCCATCCATACTTCCATCAAGGTTTGCAACTCCTCCCTCCCCCCAAAAAGTAAGTACTTCTATATTAAAACTGGCAAAACTGGGGCAGCACTGCATCATGAAACAAAAAAAAAAAAAAAAAACAACAAAAAAAACAACAAACACTACAGATGCTAGGAATACTCAAGAAAAGCGTAACAACATTTTTGGGTTCTATTTCCATTACATAAAAATACTATAGATCACAAAAAAAAAAAAATTAAGTTCATAAGAAGCCTGTGACGCTTGTCAATAAAATGGTGTTTACAGTTTAACTTCAATTAAATCACTGAACAGTTGGTTTAATTAAATAAGGCCTCAATTTGTAAAAGGCATCCTTCTGGGAATTAAATTTGATTATGACAATATATCTAGAGTAAAATTACTGATTTTTTAATTGGGTAAAGTAACAATAATAGGAGTATCTTCAGAAAATGTTTTTTATATTCTAAGTAATTCTGCAATGAACAACACTGCCCTAGATCCATTTTATGAAATTTTATTCAATTGTTGTTGCAACAGAGCATCAGATTATGATTGCAGTTACGGTTAATAAGCTCTTTATGTAAATAGATTCAAGAAAATAAGGATACTTATGCAGATGACCTTGTAATTTGCTGTAATTCACAGGATTTAGAGTAAAGTTAAGCAATTAAAATTCAGTGCATTTTGAGTAACACATTTGCAAGACAAAGCCCCAGATTTTTCCCCCCTGAAATTGAGTTAACATCTTTTGTTTTCTCCCTCTATACAGAACTAGGAATAAGCCACAGCTCTAATTATCTCTGATTTTTCATTTACTTAGCATTTACCCCATGCTGAACATGGCACCCAGTTACTCTTCCAAGAAAATAACTTTATTCTTCACCCTGTGTCCTCCCAGCAACACAGGCCTATGACAAAAGGATTAAAATACATAGATATGAAAACTAGGAAAAAGGCTCAGTCAGCTAGTCTTCACATGGATCACTGACATGCTGTGCTATATTTAAACAATGCAATCTTTCCTCAACAAAAATCCAACATGTCTGCAGAACCACTGATTCAATCTGCCATTATCAGAGCATGAACTTCTTAAAAGAAATAAACCCCATGTATTGTAGAAAATCCAGCTGTTCACAAACTCTGCTAAGAACAGCTAAAATTATGTTTGCTAAAAAGGTGACTAAAGGACATTTGCTCATGAGTGGAATTACATTAAATTGTAGAATTTCATGTAAGAAAATTATGATTTTACAACACTTAAACAGGGTACTGACCCAGACCTGTCATCCAACACAATTGCAAAAGCAATTGCACCGGAACCTGAGGAAACCTGAACAAAGTCTTGCTTGCCGTGGTGAAAAAAGACTAAAGAATAAGATGGAGATTCTGCATTTTTAAAATGGAAAGAGAGATGCATTACTGAGATTGTTAGATTAAAAGTATTATATAGTACCGTGTCTTTTTAGATGTTATATCATCTACAAATATGCATGTTAACTGCAGCTGACTTTCAGTCACCAATTAGAAACTTGGTTTGTTTGGGTTTTGTTTTGTTTTTTAATAGAAAGCAACATAAAACACATCCTAAACTGCAAAAGTTACTAGAAAGCAATGCTGCAGCATCTTCTGTTTTTCCAACAACACCAAACTGAGCAACATAAGCATCTGAAAACCAGGAAAAGAAGAGTGAAAGTTTTAACTGATAGCGCCTTCATCTGCTCTATAGCAGATACACCAGGAACATGTCACATGTGACAACAGAGAACAGCAGCATAAGAGTGTTTGAATTTACCTGAACTGCACCACACAGGACTTCATTCCACCTGTTCTAAATTCCCATATTGCATATACTTCATCAGAAATAACCCCAAACTTTACCTCCTTTAATCTTCACTCATATCCAACTTCCACAGTAAGAAAACCTTTGAGCACCCACAAGGAGACCTACAGAGCAACACACACTAAGGCATACAAATGGAAAGTAGATAGGCACTCCTAATCATTCTGAAAGATGTAAGGGTCAAACCTTACTCAGTTTTTCCAGATACATCAGTACCAAACCCCTATCAACCAACACACTAACGTACACATAACACACTGGATGTAGCTGGGAAAAGCTTCGATAACTTCACTGGCTCTGAAAGGGACTAGTATACCTTAATTCTTTCTTCTCTTGTCAGTGGTCTGAATATCCCTGAACCTGATGGTCTGAAAGGGCACAGCAACACATAAGTCAACTTAATCTCTGTCTTAATGAAGTTCTATTAGATTTACTAAAAGTTAACTCCAAAGTAAAAACGCACATAATGTTCTTCCTGTGGTTCAGATCTGCAGTCCCTATGGTAACTTCTATACCTATGCAGAATCACTCTGAAATCAAAGCAGTATGTAGGGGGTGCAAAGTCATCCCCTAAAAAGGGTGCAGCATAGAATGAAAAGTATGGTTTTAATTACTTTCCTCCCCAATAGCCTTAGGTACTGTTTTCCTATCAAAATTAAATAGTTTAACTTACATTTAGTATTCTCTACAAGAAACTGGAAGGGAAAAAAACAACAAAACCCCCACAGCTAAAAAGGTAAAACCATCTTTTATAATAAAACTAAACAAAATGCTACTACTGCATCATTATGACAGAAGGCTGAGGTGGTACGTACATGCTGAGAAAGATTGTTGTAGAATTTAATACCACTGTGGCTATTAAAGGAAAATGAGATAATGATTTTGACAGACATTAACCACAAAAATAAGATCAGATGACAAAAAATAAAATCCACACAAGAGATGAGAAAAAAACAAATACCAAAGCTCAGTAGGAAGTTTTTTAATACATAATTCATTAATTTTCTCGATTTTTGCTGAACCATTCTCCTTATAGTATGCAAACAGCAATTTGGGATATCCTGTTGTGAGGAGTCACGCCAATAAGTAAATGATTACATTATATGGCACCCCAAAGTTGTGAACATTATCACATCATGGATACATACCTCAAGAGGACGTGGTGGAGGAGGTGGCAGGCTTGCAACTTTGGCTGCTCTTTGTCTTTCCACTTCCAGAGCGTGTTTACGTGCATTAGTTCGTCTTGAGGGGAAAAAAAAAAAAAAAAAACAAAACAACAAACAAACAAATCAACCCACACACACACACAAGAAAAAAAAATCACAGAAGAGAGAAGGAAAATTGTTCAAGCAACTGTGTCAGCACTATGCAAAATAAAAGGCAAACCTGAAAACAAAGAGGTTCAGATGTAACTGAGTTGAATGCTTGGGAGATAAGAATGGGCAAGCAGACTGAAAAGTCAGCAGAATTTATGCTGGAAGGCAGCACTGGAAAATTAATTTCTTTAAGTAATGCAAAAATGTTAATATACATGAGCTTCTAATGAACAAAGCAAAGTCCCTGGCTTTCACTTAAGTCTTCGGAAAGCACTGCATCACTTCAACATATTTTAATTGCTTGCGCAGACAAAATTAAGTATTTAATCAATAGGTCTCAGCTCGATTCAAGCACAACTATCCCAAGAGTATACAGTTCATTTTTCATGTCAGCTCAAGTTTGGTCCAATCTGCTTTAAAAAAATGCTAAGAAAGACCATGACAAATGCAATAGGTCCTTTTTTCAAGTAACTCTCCATCAGGAACTAGCCTAGTAACATTTCATTTCATGTCACTGAATAGTTGTCAGCCAACATTCTAGACTGAAAATAACCATAAAGAGATGAAAGGCTTCTCACTTCTTGAGTCTGTAAAGCCAGCTCATATAGTCGACATTCTCGTCTTGGTTTTAAAACTACAGTTCTTATCAAAATCCACAAGCTTCGTCCATATGCATTAGAAAATTAATGCTTAAAATTTAAAAATTAGAAAAAGTCCAAGCAAGAAGCACCAAGATATTTGTCTTTCACCTTGCAACATTTATTAAGCATAGAATGCATTTTACAAACTAGATAACTATTGCATACCGGGCTTGCTCACGAAGTAATTTTTCTTTTTGGCACTTTTGCTCTTTCAGAGCTTTCCTATGTCTCTTCTCTGCTCTTTGTTTCCTCTCTTCTGCTTGCTTTGCCAGAGCTTCTAAGTCAGGTTCCTTAACAATAAAATATTGGAAGCACTTAATACAGTATGAGGAGTAAAATGCTATCAGTGTGATAGTTCAAACTAAGTACAGCTGGTAAGAATCACAAGCTCAAAATTACTTTGTACTGTAATAGATGAAAAATACTCTAAATCATAACTTTTCCTTCTCTGTCACATTCCTTTTTCTCTACTACCAACAGCAGCAAATTTGCCACATTACTCAGCAAATGTAACCAAACATTGATGTAGAAACCCTGGCTTCTCTCTGCATCTCTTTGATAAAGGGGGTAATAAACTTTTTAGGAAATGCTGACTAAACTGTACAGAGAAAGCACGTTGCTACCTTTCAGTCATTAACTACAACAACCATGTATCAATAGAAATGTTTCTTTAGGATTAGTTCTCTATTCCTATGGCACTGCTACCACAGCTTTTCACACACTCACCCATCCTAGCATCGGAAAGGACTTTACAAAGAACGTGATTTAGAGACACTGAGATACAGAAAAGTATAATCCTATTTTACTTGGGTTAAAAAGCCTGATTAATTCAGGAAGTAAGCTAGTCTGCAAAATTCATGCATGAAATCTGTGGCACCACTGATTTCTGTAAAACCAATTCACAGTCAAATTCAGGGAATTATTTCTACCAAACAACCTCAATGGCCTCTCAAAGAGAGCCTACACAAGTTACAGGATTTTAAAGAAAGTGAAAATAGTTTCTAGGTGCAGAATTAAGAAGTGACACCAGTTTGCCTCTGAAGGCCTTACTAAGACTTTCCATGTCACCTGAGCACCGAGGAAAAAAAAATTAAGTGTGTGTTTTATTAACTATAGAAAAGATGCTGTTACATGGTAGCGAAATAGTTACTGTATTACTGGAATACTAGAGACAATGATTCAGCATATGCAATTTAGACAAGTACAAACATACACTATCATATAGGTGTACGATTTAACACAAATAAAATAATATTAAGAGTTTGCACAGCAAAAGCCTTAGCAGATGGGCCTGCTAGACCATTTAATCCTGGTCTTGTGGAAAGATATCTGCAAAAAAAGTACACAAATATTTCTATGTTGACATTCTAATACCTAAAATGACCATTTTTTCAGGACTGCAAGATCAAGAACAAAAAAAATTAACAGCAATCACAGTATTTGTAGAACATCAAGAATTTCTCTAACAATAATATTAAGCTGTTTCACTTACGTTCTCCTTGGCTTGACGGTGACCCTCACCAATCGCTCTTAAGCTTGATAAATACAGTTTTTCTAAGGCTTTCATCTTTTGATCCTGTGCTTTCTGCCATTCAGCTCTCAGTGCCTCCTCTAACTGCTGTAGTTGTTCTTCTCTCCTCTGCTTTACTTTCTGTCTTATCTGCAAGGCGATATACTTCTGTTGCTCTCTAACCTGTCGAAATAACATGTTTATAAAAACATTTATGTTTTGCTAGCAACTTAAAGTACAGTATTTTTTGCAGCAAGTCTTTCTACAACATACTCTACCCTCCTTTCAGCTTTCCATCTCATCTACTATTTAATTAGCAATCTGTCCAGAAGCGACTTTAAATTTGCTACTACATTTTTCCAAAATTAGTATATTAAATAATAAATTTAGTATTAGCTAAATGTTTCAGTTCAAGTCCAAACAACTGATAAACAAAATGTAAAAACTGCTTGGAATATCATTCCACCCCAAAATGCAACACAATAATTTATTAAAGACTCCTATCACATTGCAACATGGTTTAATTAAAATCAGCAATTATACTGATAAATTAATGTCTGTTTACTAGGTTTTTGTTTTCCACTTTGTCAGCAAAATTGTCTTTACTAAAAACACATCAAGAAAAAAGCCAAAGAGGAATGAAAGACAGTACACAGTAAATGTCTTGAAGATATATATATTTTGAAGATATGAAAGACCTGAACAGTTTGTGTAGGAAAAAGCAGAGAAAGGCTAAGAAAAGTATATGAAGCGAAATTAAGAAATAGGTCTGTGGTCTAACAGCAGGACAGCAGAACAGAAATGGCATAAAGACAACATGATCAACAGTCATGTTCTGAAGAACATTAAGGTAACTTTGCTCAGGCATTCTAAAAGGAGCAGTACTTAAAGCAGCTAGAGCTATGACAAATTGCAGCAATTCAGTTTGCCTAGTGGAAAGCTGTGAAGTTCTGTATTAGCAGTAGTTGTCTTATTTCTTCTACATGATCACTACGAAAACACCAGGAACACTGTAAGAGGTATGCATCCTTACACAGGTGATACATCAGAAGAGACAACTGCATGTTCACGGCCAAATAAAAATGGTAGATACTGGGAAGCTGTCAGGGAAGAAGAGATCCTGAAACAGATGCCAAAGTGAATCCAACAAACAGAGGAGGTATCACAAGCAAAATGTGCACTTAGTAGTAATAAAGATGAGAAAAGGAAAATAATTCACACACTAAATAATATGACGACCCTAAAATTTAGTTTACATGAAGTAACTTTTTCAGGTAGTTTTCCTAAATTGTTACATCATTAAATGAAATACACAACATGAAAAAAAAAAAAAAACATGCATACTTGCTGTAGCCTCAATTTTCTTCTTCTCTCGTATTCCTCTTTCAGAAGCATGGTTTCTTCATTAGGACTAAGCCTCAAATTCCTAACTTTCCCAACTTTCCTCTTCATCTTTGGCAACACTGAATAATCAACTTCTGTGAACACAACATGAAAAAGAGAAATTGTACATAAGTTATACAGGTAAACCAGCTATAAAAAAACCCAGATATTGCCACAATCTCACAAATCTATCATGATATCTAAGGAGTGCGAACTACCACTGTTCACATCTGTTCAAATTGCACTCAACAACACTGGTTATGTCTTTGTCACAGTAACCAAATGCACTGCTTTTGAACTATTATGCTCTGTAGCAAACTCTGCAACAGTATTACATTGACATTCTACACTGTGGACCACATAGGCACATCTGCCAAGGCAATAGAAAACACTATTCCACTCCTGGGAAGATTCAAAAAAACCCACACTACTGAAAACCACATCACACAGTGAAGCAGGCTGGTCATCAGGTAATTTGTACTGAAATATTCTCCTATCAGTTATAAGATACTGAGTTTGTTAACATTTTTGACTGCAGTCCAAGGTTTTCTGCCTTGAAGACTGTGAAACTGACAACATTCTGCATGCCAAGCATTTCCACTAGAATGCTATAATGGCTCACTGACAATTTTTTATTGACATTTTCTTAAGCAACCATTTCAAATTATGTTTCCTTGTAATTTTACTGTGGAACAAGAATCTGCTGGATTTACAGATTGCTTTTTGTTTTCCTTACAACTATAATTTTCATCTGCACAGCAAAAAAAAAAAATACTTATTCAGCCTGATATGCAGCATAGTCTAAAACTGCCCATGTCCAATCTTTATTTGATCTTTAAATATTTATGTTCCTGAAAATTCTCTCCCAAAACAAGGACCTTCAAAAGCCACTGTTTAGTTCTAAAAAATCAAAAGCTTATTACTAGTGAACAATCCACATAGCACTAACAATTTAACCAACATATTACACATGGAAAAATTTCCTTCCAGCATCATAAAAAAAAAGTTAACAAAACTCTAAAGAAATCAGGTGAGGTGTAAAAACAAACTAATTACCCATAAGATACTTTTGGTACAGGGTTATTAAGCCAATGAATCCCAAGACCATTACAGGATAAACAAGGACAGAATATCATGCTTCCAGCTGGCCTTCCCTTATTCAGCCGCTGAGGTACAACACATAAGTTTATCAACATGCGTAATTAAAGAGCAAATAACTACACTCCCTCCCCACCCAGCAAAAGGAAAAAAATTAGAGAATGAACGATCCAAAGCCTAGATCTCACACTTAAAGGATTAAGAGCAACAGCAGATAACGCAGCCGCCACAGCAACGCAGTCAACGTTTGCACAGGTTCAGCTTTAGTACAAAGCAACCAGTAAACACACGACAGTTAAAATTAAGCAGCCTTCCCCGGGAACACGCACCACAAGCTCCCGTAAGCGACGTTAACGCCTCTTACTGCGCTCCCCAGGGCAGCTGGCAAAAAGCGCTTCTCCGGTACCGGAGGGCGAAGCGGCGGAATTAAAAAGCAGCGAGAGGTGCGACGAGGGCCCGGGGGCTCAGAGCGGAGGCGGCTGGCTCGGGGCGCGGCTGCCCGGGGGACGGCGAGGAGACAGAGCACGCCGAGGCCGCCACAGGCCCTCAGGGAGCTCTGCCCGCGGGGCCCCGCGCCGCTCCCGAGCGGCCACCGGGAGCCGCTCCCAGCGCCAGCCCGGGCTGAGGAGGGACAGCGCGGGGAGCAGAGAAAGGAAAGCCCGCCCGCGGGCGGCGGGACTGAGGGGACGGAAAGGAGCGACCGCCCGTCGGAGCTAGCTAGCTACCTGCCTTCCTGCCCGCCGCCGCCAACTGCGTCACCGCTGACGCTCTCCCTGAGCGGCCAACGGCTGCGAGCGCAGCGGGAAACCAAGATCCTCGGCGGGTCGCTCCCCCTACGCATGCGTAGTGCTCGCCGCTCCAGCCTCACGGCAGCACGCATGCGCGACCGGCCCTAACCGTCCCCGCCGCCTTGTGTGGCTTGAGCCCCGCCCTTGCCTGCTGGCGACCAATGGGAACGGAGGAAAGCCGTGACGAGACGCACGCGGCGCATATAAAAGAGGCGCTGGACAGAAGGGTTATCCTTGGCTCCCTGCCTTTCTCTTTAGGTGGTGCTTCCTCAGTCAGTCCCTTCCCAGCGACTGATTCAAAGGGGGTTAGGGTTTTGCCTGCTTAATCAGGCAATTTCCACAGGTAATGGCTATGATTTTCTCACAATAATATGCTGGCAGGCCTCTGTCAGAGTTTCTAAGTGCTGAGGATTCTGTGGCTGGGGTGTTAGCTAAACTGGAAATAGAAATGGAGAGGGAACAGAAGAGAACATAGCACTGTTTGCTTTACCTCACGGACTTTACCTCACTAGTTTTACTTCTATGTAACTTTAATGTTCAACACAATTTCTGGATGCGTTGTATGCAGAGAAGCAGTAAATTTAGGCTAAGATAGTAGCCCAGGACTTCAGTGATGCTTTGCCTATCTGCTAGGCTTACACAGGGCTGGGGCTAAATTGCTTCTACAATGAGCTGATGTGTGCTGCTACCTGAACCTGATAACTAGTGTGGATCTTTCTTTTATAAACCTCTTTTTTTAACTAATGTCTGCTCCTTGTAAGTCCGTTGCAATGCTCGTTTGCTTCTTTGCTTTCATATTCATGTTTTCCTTTCTAAAAGGGACCATTCACCATAGGGGGGAGACTTGCAGCAGTTGGGATTTTAAAGTGGAGTCATTTATGAGGAACATAAAACTGAGCAAAACCTTGTTATTCACATTGAGAAACAATTCAGCTGCACATACAGATGAAACAAGAGAGGCTGTGTTAGTGTTTCCTTGCATCGAGTACGTTCCCAGGGTCTGAGCTGCTGCTGCAAAAATGGAATAAATGCTTGTGATTTATAACTGATCAGGCACAAAGGAGATAATCAGTTGTCTCATGGTAAAACATGAGTGCACAATATAGCTACTTTCTATAGCAGATTCTTCTAGAAAAGGGAAAAAAAAAATTATACTAGGAGCTAACTGACATAGTAACCCACCATATTGTGCCCTACAGGACTGAAACCAGAAGGGCTGAGATTACTTGGTAAAGCTTTATGGTTTGGTGCGTGGCCACAAAGAAAATACACTGAAAAAATACAGAATTGCAAAACAAAAGACATAAGCATAGGAAAAAATGTAACATAGCAGTTGAGCATGCTTTCTGCCCTGCCTTCTGCATTTTACTGCTAAACTGCCTTCCTATTCACAGACTTCTGTGCTATGGGATCAGTTAGGGAGATAATTTGCTTTCTCTCAAGTGCTTGCAACTTGCTGCAAACTGCTGACTGTAATAGCTGGTACCAAGTTAATACCTGATTGTACATTAAAGACACCCAGATGTTCCACAGTATGCATACTGAATAAATTAAATGTGAGCAGTGTGCTTCTAAATGCATTTTCCAGTCTCCTTATTGGATTTTTTTGTCCTTCAGTGTTTTCATTATGGTAGTGCTCTCCACAATAATATCTCTTCTAAATAGCTTTATCCTGCAGGTCAACAAGTAAAAAAAAAAAAAATGAAGACAGTCTATTAAGAGAGTAATTGAGATTATAGATTTTTAAATCTTCTACTTATAAAGTGTGGAAGAGGTTAAATACATACTCCTCCATTATACTATTGGAAAAAAGGGATATTATGAAACCTATACATGCTGGGTAAGAATTTTGTGTCAAGAGTGTTTTCTAGTCAATGTATTGCAGAATTATTTCTGCTACCACTTAATTTACATACATATACAGAAAAACTGAGATTTAGCAAACAGACATTTTAATACTGTAATGTTTTCTACTTTTTACTACACCTGTTTGAATTACAGTATTACAGGCCTGCATTAATTCTTTCCCTTTGTGAAGAAGATGGTGTTCCTTTTATTAAAGTTGGATAGTGATGCAGCAGTATCTGCATCTAGCCAGGCATATATAAAACTGGAGATAATGGCTCCCTTGTGCTTCAATTACTGGTCATACTTCTTCTAGGGGAAAGAATGATATTTGGAGGAGTTATCTACAAATTCCCAAGATAGCTGGGAGAAAAATCGGAATTTCTTTTTAGGAACAGAATGCTTTTCATACATTAAAAAAATGTCTTATAGTGTGAATCTATGTGAAAATGCAGATTTAAAAGAAATAAATTTTGTTTCATGTTTTTGAAGAGGGGTTGTATGACTGCGAAGTCCACTGCTGAGGTGGCCTGTGATGTGTGGTCAGGAGCTCAAATCACAGTACAGGCCTTCTGCTGTTCCAGAAAACGGCTTTTGAGAGCGGGACTGCCTGTACTTCCCTATCACTGAGGATGTTTATTCCATCAGTGGGTGAACCACTGCAAGAGATGTTGGCACAGGCATGTTGCCTCGGTGTGCTCTGTGGGACTATTTAGTCTGGATATAAGACTAGTGAGACTGGAGTTACCTTGGTGTGCCTGAGAGAACAGATTCCCTGTCTTGTAAACAGGCCAAGTAGACCAGCATATGCAACCTGTACCTCTTACTGCCACACAGGAGCACTTACTCCTTTCTTCATTAGAAATTCTTAACTGGCCACTCATGTCTCTCACTCTCACAAGGGAAGGATGACCTTGCAGGCTTTTCTGCATCTTCAGCAGAGAAGCACTGGTTTTATAGGTTTTCTGAGATCCAGTAATGGAACAGTACAACCACCTGACAGCTCACCCTTGTGCAGGACTTGGCACCCTGCAAGAATTAAGTATTCTCCTTGAAAACCTCTGAAGGAAGAGTTTTAAAGAAAGTGTCATATTCACACACTAGCCCCCGCCCCCAAGTCCTCTAACACCTCATTAGAGAGTAATGCAGTTTTCTGTTTCCTGTCTCCTTGCTGATTACTGAAGTATCAGAATGAAATGAGAACTTCTCTCAGTTTGAACTGGCCTTTCTCTGCATTCTGTATTCCTCAATGTCACATACCACATTATCGTATGGTCTTAAATGTTTCCCTATGGTTCATTTTGTTTTGATCTGTGATTATTTCTCCCATGCTGTTTTATCTCTTTTAGCACCTGACACTGGACATCTAATTATCACGACTGCCAGGATCTAACAGGATGTGGTTTCACAAAGGTTTGTAATCCTCCAGTTCATACAGTCTCAAAACTGCAAAGTGCTTTTGTTAAATAGTTTGCATTAAGTGTGTTTTTTATGTGTAAGCTTTGCAAACATAGATGGAGTTTCTTAACAAGCAAAAAGGGCTAATCTTTATTTTTGAGACTGACTAGCCTACTGCGGTCAGCCTGTGCAAGCGCAGCCTATAATAGTCTCTGCCCGAGACTGATTTGAAGATAAATTTTCTTGACAGATGTGGAAGGGTAGCTTTCGGTATTATACTCTGTGTCATGTAATAGAAGGCTGCAAAGCTACACTTTCTAGTACCAAAGCAACCGTATCTGGAGCTCTGCCTGTATAAATTCTCAACGTGCAAACTCTATTAATAAAAAAGATGCTATGGTTAAAAAAATCCACAAAACATCAAAATATGAGATATAAAAAGCTAAGTAGATGGTAGAAGGATAATTACATGTAATTAAATTAAATACAATGTACATCCTAAAATTATTGTCATGGAAAAACAAAGAAATGGCTGTAAATTCAGATCTGGTTTTAGATATAAATGGTGCTGTGTTACAGAAAAAAAAAAAGAATGCTTTCTTACGACGTTGGTCCAGAAGCCATTAGGGAACCAACAGCAACCTTAGGCAATGCCCACTCTCTGTCACGAGTGCTCCTGGGACTTCACCCAGCATCCTTAGTCCAGCTTAATGGTTTGGGTTTCTGGAAAACAACCAGCCTTGGGACGGCAAGAGCAGGACCAAGTGCTTAAGACCTTATTATTCATGCATGAACCACAGTTCTGCATAAGGTCATTTTAAAATGGGCTCTCAAACAAATGAACTCTCCCAAAGCTTGAAGCCAACAGAACTGAGCTGGATTCAAGTTTTTACAGACAAAAAGAAGCCTTGTGTAGCTACGCTGCTGCACGTCCTCAGAACTGGTCTGCCTAACTGCTCAGCGATGCCAGTGTACGCAGACTTCTACAACACAAACTTGGAGTGTGCAAATTCATTTACTAAAATTATTGTAATCTGTATTCAACCTTCTAAAATATATTGGAACCATAGATAGAATTTTCTCCAATTTTTATAATATGCATAGTAACTGTGTGCACAAATAGGCCAATTATGCTCAGTCCAGTGAGTTTACAGCTGGTCTTTGCCAGCTTTTCTCAACTACTGTGCCATATCTTGTTTGGCTAACCTTCCTTTGTTTCTTCTTGTAATATCTACTTTTGTTCAATTTCAGAAACTATATTGAACATTACTTGCTTTATTGTGGGTACTTTCAAGAAGAAAATAGAATGGTGCTGGATTTTCTGGTATTTCCTTTAAATAACAGATTCTACTCCAGCAAAATCTCTTAAATGGCTTAAAATTTTACCTTGTAGAAAAAGACCTCCTTATGTGACTAAAAATGCTTTTTAGTTTAGTCCGACATTAGTAGTAAGCATCATAGTTTCAGCATGTAGTACAGCAACTGGGAGAAAACTAATTTTTTTTCTAATTTTAAAATGATTACTTTTTCTCCAACCTGAATTGGCTTGTTTTGTATTGTTTGCCTCTTCGTTTTGATTGCTTATGTTTATTACATTGTATACAGGAAGTGGTGGAGTTTTCACAAGCTTCAGTTTCTCTCAGATGTGCATCCAAATGCTACGCTGAACACAATAAAA